CCTTCGGATTCAATCTCGATCTTTCATGTGATATCTTTGATCTCTCTAAAATTGGCTGCTTCGTTCTTTGTCTCGGCAATGTTGAACGTCGCGTTGTCCGTTTTAATGGAGTTCGGTGTAACCTGTTTTACAACGAGGACCCTCCTCGAGGACGATGATTTCGGCCATTAGTAGATCCTTTCGAAATTTTCCGTTACGTTGATCACCGTTTCGTTGCAGTAAAATTTATCGAGTTCTTCGAACGAACTTTTTACTTCCTTCTGCATTTTTGTGTTAATTATTATATCCTTGCGTACAATCGACTCGATGCATTGTGTTGTAACGCAGAGGTCAAGGTTAATTTTGACGATCTTGAAAATTGTTATTTTCAAACGTGAAACGATACCAGATTTATCCTTTATTTGCTCCCAGAATATATGATAATGGATTACTGATCTTTACGCGAAATAAAAGTTGTCTTCGTCGATTTTAAGAAACAGGGACCACATTGGGATTTTGTTTATTTCTTAAATAATTTCGATAAAATGTGTAATATCACTAGTGGACGGACGGTAAGAAAAGATTGCGCTTTGCATTACTAGCGGCGTTGTTACTTTCTACAGCTTATTTGCAAAATCCTTGTTTATCCCAATGTTGAAGTTAATAGATGCACCGATTGGCTTTCGAGCCAATATAATAAATAATAAGTTCATATAGTAAATAGTAATAACAATAATAATAAGAAAATATGCGACAATATACAGTAACGTCTCCCTAATTGAAGCTCAAATTGTCCACAAAAGTGGACAATTTGGGAAGCGGAGATACGATTGATCGAGTCTTGCGGCTCGTTTTTACGAGTAACAGATCATCAACAATTATAAAAACGAGCTGCAAAACTCGAACAATCGTCCCTCTTTTTCCCAAATTGTTCATTTTTCTTTCCAAGCTAAGCGTCAATTAGCGAGACATTACTGTAACGGCAAAAATGACCCATGTGGACCAAAGATTGTAAGAGTCGGCGGTCTCGAACGGATTAGGCGAACCGTTTCACGCGATAACAGCGGACCACCGTTCCGGGCACAGGTGGAGGACGGGCCGGACGACGAGGGCAACTATTACATGAGGCCCGCGAAGTTCTCCGACATGGTCCCGAAACCATTTCCGAACGAGCAGGCGGCCAGGGCCGCGAACCTCGGCAGTTATCCGCCGGACCTGACGTACGTGGTGTACAGCAAACACAACGGCTTCAATTTTCTCTTCTCCTACCTGACTGGATTCCGGGATCCACCGGCGGGCGTGAAGCTGAACGACGGGCAACACTTCAATCCGTATTTTCCCGGTTGCATCACCGGAATGGCGCCGGTAACGCGACCGTCCGCTCTCTCCTGTCTCTCCTTCCCTTTAGATCCTACGATCCTCCCTTTCAGATACTGTTCGACGATATGATGGAGTTCGAGGACGGCACGCCGGCCACCGAGTCGCAAATGGCGAAGGACTTGGTCGAATTTCTGACGTGGACCGCCTCGCCGGAGCACGACACGAGACAGCTGATGCTGCTGAAGGGGCTAGTGCTTTTCACGTTGCTGTCCATCGTGTCGTACGACATATACAGGCGTAACATCTCGCACCTGAAGAGCCGTCGGATAGCATACGTGCCGAAACGTACCTGCTGAGATCGGGTAAGAACGGCCCCCGTTTTTAGCTTGTACCGTATTCTCGCGACATCTGTCACAGCTTCAGGTCTGCCCGGGTCTGACAGTTATCGTAAAGAGAGAGAGAGAGAGAGAGAGAGAGAGAGANCTCGAGGACGATGATTTCGGCCATTAGTAGATCCTTTCGAAATTTTCCGTTACGTTGATCACCGTTTCGTTGCAGTAAAATTTATCGAGTTCTTCGAACGAACTTTTTACTTCCTTCTGCATTTTTGTGTTAATTATTATATCCTTGCGTACAATCGACTCGATGCATTGTGTTGTAACGCAGAGGTCAAGGTTAATTTTGACGATCTTGAAAATTGTTATTTTCAAACGTGAAACGATACCAGATTTATCCTTTATTTGCTCCCAGAATATATGATAATGGATTACTGATCTTTACGCGAAATAAAAGTTGTCTTCGTCGATTTTAAGAAACAGGGACCACATTGGGATTTTGTTTATTTCTTAAATAATTTCGATAAAATGTGTAATATCACTAGTGGACGGACGGTAAGAAAAGATTGCGCTTTGCATTACTAGCGGCGTTGTTACTTTCTACAGCTTATTTGCAAAATCCTTGTTTATCCCAATGTTGAAGTTAATAGATGCACCGATTGGCTTTCGAGCCAATATAATAAATAATAAGTTCATATAGTAAATAGTAATAACAATAATAATAAGAAAATATGCGACAATATACAGTAACGTCTCCCTAATTGAAGCTCAAATTGTCCACAAAAGTGGACAATTTGGGAAGCGGAGATACGATTGATCGAGTCTTGCGGCTCGTTTTTACGAGTAACAGATCATCAACAATTATAAAAACGAGCTGCAAAACTCGAACAATCGTCCCTCTTTTTCCCAAATTGTTCATTTTTCTTTCCAAGCTAAGCGTCAATTAGCGAGACATTACTGTAACGGCAAAAATGACCCATGTGGACCAAAGATTGTAAGAGTCGGCGGTCTCGAACGGATTAGGCGAACCGTTTCACGCGATAACAGCGGACCACCGTTCCGGGCACAGGTGGAGGACGGGCCGGACGACGAGGGCAACTATTACATGAGGCCCGCGAAGTTCTCCGACATGGTCCCGAAACCATTTCCGAACGAGCAGGCGGCCAGGGCCGCGAACCTCGGCAGTTATCCGCCGGACCTGACGTACGTGGTGTACAGCAAACACAACGGCTTCAATTTTCTCTTCTCCTACCTGACTGGATTCCGGGATCCACCGGCGGGCGTGAAGCTGAACGACGGGCAACACTTCAATCCGTATTTTCCCGGTTGCATCACCGGAATGGCGCCGGTAACGCGACCGTCCGCTCTCTCCTGTCTCTCCTTCCCTTTAGATCCTACGATCCTCCCTTTCAGATACTGTTCGACGATATGATGGAGTTCGAGGACGGCACGCCGGCCACCGAGTCGCAAATGGCGAAGGACTTGGTCGAATTTCTGACGTGGACCGCCTCGCCGGAGCACGACACGAGACAGCTGATGCTGCTGAAGGGGCTAGTGCTTTTCACGTTGCTGTCCATCGTGTCGTACGACATATACAGGCGTAACATCTCGCACCTGAAGAGCCGTCGGATAGCATACGTGCCGAAACGTACCTGCTGAGATCGGGTAAGAACGGCCCCCGTTTTTAGCTTGTACCGTATTCTCGCGACATCTGTCACAGCTTCAGGTCTGCCCGGGTCTGACAGTTATCGTAAAGAGAGAGAGAGAGAGAGAGAGAGAGAGAGAGAGAGAGAGAGAGAGAGAGAGAGAGAGCTACTACTGCAATTTTCCGCGCGGTGTTGCGCGCACGCGGAGAAGGACAGCGATCGAAAAGATAGAAAGAAGGACCGCGCGCGAGCTTCTCGAGCTTTTTAAATTCGGTATTCCTTACTTTTGCTTTCCCGTCGACGAAGCCCCCTTCCTTCGCCGTCAGGTTCGTCCCGTTCCGCCGATTAAAATAATATGAAAACACGACGCAGTTGCGATTCCAATTACTTGTGTAACGAGCGATTCAAGTTCCGGACTTCAACTTATTACATAAGTACAGTACTCTCTCCCAATAGTTCGCGTTCTCCTTCATCGCATTTGAATGCTTCCCCCACCGCTCGGCGAGCACGTTCGCGTTCGCATGCATGTATGTATTTTAAAAGCGACTCTCCCGATAGGTTCGTTCAATATATACAATACGATTATATATACATACATACACGTTTCACTGTAGAGAAAAGTAGCCTGCAAGGAGAGACAACGCCGCCGACAATTCCGACTTTATTCGGTGAGAATTTCGTTGATTATAACCGTGATTAACAATTATGTTCGATGTTATTTCAATCGGAAAAAAACGGGACGAAATGCGGTGGTTAAAAATCTCGTAGTAAAGAATCGAGAAGGAGTAAAAAGTTTCATCGTTTCGCATCGCTTGCATCGTCTCCCTCGACTCTTCGCCGGTTCGGTCGTCGAGCGTGTTTTTAACGCTTCGCTGGTACCAAGAGGGATGCTCTCGCAGTGTCGTGGATAAGAATTTCCCGATCGGCGATCGCGGAGATCGTTTCGACAGTTATTATCGAGAGAATACCGTGCAACGCTTCTTATCAATCCGGAACGGAAGCGTAGGCCAATCCGGCGGAGAAGGCTGAGAACGCCGCCGTTTGAAAGCCACCTCGCTAATCGCGTGGTTAAAAATAGAGCGGCGAACCCGACCGAACCGAAATACCATCTTGGAAACCGGTAACGAGCGACAGCGATCGACGATCGACCGACTATTTCAGATCTCCCACCGCCATTTATTTTTACCTGTCCATCGGTCGCGGTCCCGCCACCCCCGCCGCACAGTCTTCCGCGGTTTCCTCCCGTCCGCGACGCCCACGATCGCGTTCGACCTGCACGGTTAAATTGCTACGGTTCCGAAATAGCGGCGAGTAGTCCAAAATAATAACCACGTAGCCGCGCGTCTCCTTCGTTCTGCGCGGTATCTTTTTCCTCCTCTTCCCTCCTCTCGTCGAATTACATCGCGCCGCGTCGCGTCGATGATCTAGGCGCGCTTGCACGACCCGTCCCGTCCCGTTCCGTCCCGTCTCGTACCGTACCCGGCCCGTCTCGTCTCGACGCTCAATGGCAACAAGTGCGATCGCGGGAGAGAAGGGGCGGCACGGATCGAAAATATATACGAAACGATGAATGAAAGCTTCGCGTCGACGTCGAGATCCCGCGCCAACGATTCCTCGATCGAACACGACCGACCGAAGCCGTTTGCCGCCGCCGGTGGTGGTTTCTCGAAGGATCATCCCCGAAATTAGGCGAGAGAGAGAAAGGGTATCCAGCACTTACCCGTGGTCGCAACGGCGCTGGCTCGCGGTTGCTCGCTGGACATTCTGTTTCCTCCAACATTCACCGTCCCCTGCATCTACCATTTACCATCGACGCTTCGACTTTGCGACACTGTTCTCCGTTCGCGTCATGCGTGGCTCTCTGAAACGATAAGGGGACGTTCGTTTATTCGAGAGGAATGTGCTTGAATTTTTGAGAAATTTTCGAGAAATTTTTTTGAGAAATCAAGCTGCCGCAAGTCAGGGATGCTAAATCTCAGTTCGACCGGGCTGCTCGAACCGATCCCGCGACCGAGACCGAGACCGAGACCGTGACCGCGATCAGGACGACGACCGTTTCACGGAACGTGAAACGAAATTCTTCCGCGCACGCGTCCCCGTCCGCTTCGCGCGAAACCGACGCGATGCTTCGAACCGTCCGGCGAGCGTGAGACGATAGTTAAATAAATGATAAACCCCGCCGAGCAGCGCGATGCTCATCGATCGAGGTTCAAACGCGGGGATGTAGGGTCGCGCACACGGCGATACACGGCGCACGTTGCTCTCGAGCGCGGTTCCAAGGCGGACGCGAATCAAACGGAACGCGTGGAATCGCGCGCGGAACGTAACGGAAACCGCGAACGCGCACGATTCAAACGTCGTCTACCGGACCGGATCGCCGACGACGACGACGACATGGAAGCAGGTGTCAATAACATAATTCCTGATACGGAAAATATCTTGTACTTTCGGAATGCGCGGTTAGAAAATGCACAGAGGCGCGCGCGCCGATGTAAGATAATAAGAAAAATGATTTTGTCCGATTAGAATCGCATACGAAACCACCGTGCGGCGGATGCTCGATTCGCGCCGAGCATGCCCGAGCCGAGCCGAGCGACGTGCCATGCCGAGACGAAACTGCGACGGGAGTTTGAGTTCGAGTCGCTGGTCCGACGGGCGAAATGTCGATAACGAACATCGATCGTCGCGGGTCCGCGACGGGAAACCGAGAACGAACGGCGTTTTATGCTGTACGCGTGAATCACAACCGTTACCGAATCGTCGGCCGAGGCGCGATCGGTTTTTTTCCCCCCTCTGAGCTCTCTCTCTCTGGTCCAGGTCACGCGTATCGGAAACGTGGTTTACGTAGGAAGAACGACATCGATAAATGTAAGCGTCACGGAGGACAGGAGGGTATTGCCATCGCGCGCAACGATTCCACCGAAACGACGATACGAAAAGGCCCGATCGCGTCGCGATAGGATTCAAATCGTGACAAGTGGCGTGCGTGCTCGTTCGATCGCGATGCCGTCGGCGGCCGAAACCGTCCGATTCGTACCGGAAAGGAAATTCGGTTCTCGTCCCCGGTCGCGATCCGTCGGGCAGCGACGGGATAAGGCACGAACGAAGTGCGCCGTGCTCGCGCGAATTCCTGTCGAATTCCTCGCGTGTTATATCGGCGTGTCGCGAAGATTCGCGACGTTCGTTCTCGCGGAGTTCGACTCGAGAACGAATGTGCTCGGCGACACGTGGCAAAAATGCGACGCGCGGACGGATTCGTTCGCCGACCGTGTTTCTCGAAAGAGTAAGCAACAGGAATGGAACGCGGCCGACGGCGAAACGGGAGCACGGCGAACACCAGGGAACCAAAGTAGCGCCGAGACCCGAGCACAAGATAGAATAGGACGTTGTGTTATGGTATGCTATGCTTTGCTATGCTGTGCTGTGCTGCGAGCTGTGCGATGCCACGCTATGCCGTGCTGGTGCTATGAAACGAGACGGGATGGGATAGGATAGAAGCGCGGCGGAGAGTAGAAGAGACGAGAGGAGAGGATTGGAGTGGAACGGAGTCGGAGAGGCAGCGAACAGAGGGGCCAGCGATGGTCGGGTACCGCGCAAATTCACTAATACCGAGAGACTCACTGTTAACGTTGCCACACCTTCGCGAACCACGTATGTTCCGGCCTTTCGACGGTCCCGATGATCCCGTGCACGACTTCTCTCCCCGTCGGGAACCGAAGCACTTTGGAACAACTGGACGCGTAAAAGAGACGAACGGTAGACACTCGCGATACACTCGCGCGATACGCCTTAGACAGAGCGTATATGCATGGTATGTACACACACGAGAAACATAAAAACAATGCGATCGAGCTGCTACCTCGACGCCATTCGTCCAACTATAACAATCCGTCGGACGACTGGCAGACGCACTTCGTTACCTTGGTAGCACGCATGCGTTTCCAAACACGAGGAACGCGTAAGTCGCTCTCGACGAGGGACCACTGAAGACCACGCGACGACGTCCGCCTCGGTTCTCTTTTCCTCTCCCTCTCTCTCTCTTTTTTTCTCTCTCCCTCTCTCTCTCTCTCTTCTTGTCTCTCTTTCCGCGCTCTCTCCGACGAATCCACCGATTTTACCACGATACGCCCGTCCGCACGTGAAACTTCGCCGAATTCCGCGCTAACGTTCCCGTCGTCAGAGAGACGTAATTACGCAGCTATGCGACCAGCTATAACTAACCTACAACCTAGCGGTTCGCGTCAGGCTTGCCAACTACCGACTGGTGTACCTTCGACGACCTCGATCGACCAACATCTCGTTCGTGACGTCTGGTTACCACCCGCCACCCCCCTGATTCTCGCTGTCTCTCTCTCCTTCTCGTCTTCGTTCGCGCGTTTCCTCTTTCTCTCTCGCTCCCGTTCGCCTGCCCGGTGCTGACATCCGACGGAACGCGTTTCTAAACTCGGCGCTATTTAAAGTTACCGCTAGACAGGATCGAGTACGTTGCGAAGCGGATTCGGAGCGGATTAGATCGTTGGAAACGAGATCTCGATTTCATTGCTAATTGCTAGGAACGTTCAGGTAAACCAATCTATCCGCGCAATGAACAGAATCTTGGTTCGCGCGAGATTAGATCCGAGTATCTCGTCGATTATTTATTTCCCGCGTTTACCGTTTCGGAGCATTATTTGAAAAGGGTTCGTTCGGCATGGCAGAGGGCGCCAGAACGTCGCTGATTCTCGACTGCGTCGGTATTTCAGGCAGCTCGACGCGGAATCCTATACGGCGATTGGTCTATTCCAATACCTCGTCAGTGATCGTAGTCGATCGATCGTGTCAAAGTCGTTTGTTGCAAATGCTGCGTATTTTCTCTCGTTTCGGGTAGGAATTTTGCTTTTTTTTTTTAGTCAAAATCGAGTGTCGCGAAGCACGATTTCGGACATTGGACGGAAACCGATCGACGAGTTCACGGAATGATTAATTTCTAAGGTAAATCACTGCGATCCTCGCAACGTTGATGTTGCGAGCACTTGTCGCATTTTTTTGTCGATCTGTCGAGACGAAAGATCGCGTCGTCTTTGCGAACCTAACCTCTCTGGTGTGTCTCGATCCAAACAGGAACATTCGACGTTGGCCGTGACACCGCGAACGTTTCCATTCTGCAGAAAATGGCTTGGCTGTTTTCATGGAAGAAGAACCAGAAGGTCGAACCTGCGGAAGATACTGGAACCGAGGAAGACAATGCGGAATACGTATTCGTCGAGAAGAAGAGGCAAGCACCGTTGCCACCGTCTCAGTCTGATCAAAGCGGGCCCGGATATCCAACCGGAAACTTGTATCCGTACATCCCTCCGGGTTCAGAGTTTTCCTCGATGACGATCGATCCGACGGTTAATCAGGGGGAGAGCACTCGTTTTTTAAACGATATTCCATTCAAATTGTGTAAACGTCTGGAGATTCAGAAGAACAATGACTTGGAGATCGATAGGCTCAGAATCAACGAAATTGTGTCGTTTATTGAGAGAATAGAGTCCAACGATTATAATTACAGTTTCTCTGTGGAAGAAGGTGTCACGGCAGAGATGAATAGTATAAACGATCAGTGACGCGTTGAATGAATGAATATTCGAGGAAACATTGTACGAATTTGCTCAGCTCGAACAAAAGAAGCATGCCCATGTCTGTTCCAACGAAAGAACGTTTATTTAACCCTGGAAGAAACAGGTGTTGTGCACCTGTATATGCTAGAATATCGATTCGCAGGTAACCGTAAGCTTACAATGTCGTGCGCCATGATCTTACGTATATGTACATATATCTGTAACATAATGTAGTTTGAAAATTTTCTCCCGTATTTTGAATAAACCTTAAGATTCTAACCGTTGCAACCCACGCTGGAGTCTCTCGTTTCGTTATCATTATTCCCCGGATACTGGACTCGCGTGCGAATTACCGCAGATAAAAACAAACGATGCCGGCGGTAGCGACGATAAGGAAAAAAGGCATCCAGGTCCTTAGGAATGCTGGAAAACTGAAGACAGAAGACTGGGTGAAAGGGCGATCGCGACGGAAAATCTTCTCTGTCAATCTTTTACCTTGCGTATTTGCCGTGAAGTAGCATCAGAAACGCTAGCCTCACCATGTTCCAATCGTTGACATTGTCGTATGACATTAAATTCAACGCAGTGGCCACGTGCGAGTGGCAGTTGTCGCAACATAGGTTGTGCTGTGAAACAAAGCAACGTCTACGCATTATCGATCGAAAATCAATATCGGTTCTCGGCGAAACACTGACCATTCTCTTTTTATAAATTTCACTGGCTTCGGCCACCGCGGAGTCCCATCCCGCAACGCCTCCCTTCGCTTTACCATAGTTCAATTGCCAGTACTTCGTTGGTTTCCCAAATGCCATGTTGTCTTCGGACACATGATACGGGCCCGCGAAATCTCTTATCACGCCGGTAGAGGTGGCGATGCCCATGTGACCGATGAACGGTAAGAAATACCTTACGAAAATGCAAATGAACGTGACAACGACAATCGACCGATTGAAACAATGCCGGAGAATATAATTAGCGAGACAGTTCGAGGAAAAAAACTCAATCGATTTCGTGATGACCATTGCCATTCCGAAGCTGTTAAAGGTTAGCTCGCGTCACTCTACTCACGTTAATATCGGCAACGGAGTCCAAACTATGCAGAACGGGAATCTTTGTCTGGACGGATTAATTATAAGATCCATGCTCGACGCATCGTCCGAATAATGCTGCTCGTCGCTCGGTAAATCCGGCTCATTCATAGCCTGTTTTGACAGTGCAGTAGAAATCCCCACCAACGCTTCTGTAGTCTATGACGAGCGATGCCAAAGTTTTTCGTCGCAACACATCTTTACCGATCGAGCATTCAAGAACTGATTTTTAGCACGCATGCGTCCGCAAGTTCTAGTGCGCATTCCACGCGAGCGTAGAGAGGACGTTCGAAACCGCGATAACGTTGCAATATTTTCGCCAAATTTGAAATAATTATTGAAGAACATTGCAAAACATCGATTCGATATTGTACAGAAGATACGGTAGAACTGTAACGTTCACTGAAAACAACAATTTTCTCCTGATTCCAACGATTCTAACGATTTACCAGGTTCTATCTTTCGAATGGCATCGGAAAACAAAACACGCGCATGCGCCGCGACGAACACGTTCCATGGCGGTTCGCACTGTCGCGAACCGATATGTATCTGCGTCCAAGTGTACAGACGATAATTTCCAGTTTCTCGATTTCGAGAGAACCGTCGCGAATCATGAAGGTACGTAGATTAATTTTCCGAATCGATCGGAATGTTAGTCGAACTGTGCGAAAGAACACGATCCTTGGTCTGTAATAAAAAGAAAACCGGGGCCAGTCTTCTCCGACGTTTAATAACGTCCCTCGATTTACACACTTACCGATCGTTCTCGACGTTCGCCGACACGATCGTTACTGACCGAAAAATTACGTAAAATTTCTGCTCGAAAGTTCAAAGACGAGCATTCGGGACTGAACGCGCAGGATACCATAAAAATGCTTTATACCGTGATAAGATGGTACGTAACAGCGTTGCGACTAATGAAATTACGCGCGTAATCGCGATAGGTTTCTCGCGAGACAGAAGAACATTTTCTTCCATCGGAAGATGATGCACCGTCGCTTTCGACTCGGTGAGTACCTAAGCGTTGCTGCGATCTGGAGACGGATCGTTGTTCGATCCGAACGATCAGCCGGATAAGAGTGAGTTGGATGCCATGGCCGTGTGTGCGAGCGGCGAGTGGCGAATAGAGGGTGTGCATCGCGTTAACCGAGGGTTTCTTTGCAAGCACTACCGACCCTACTATGCTGGTTGGTGGTTGTATGCGCCGAAAGCGACGTTGTCCGCAATGAAGACATCTGCGGTGCTCAGAACGGTCGTCGGCTGTACCTCGAGCTTGGAGAGAAGGGGATTCTGTACGCGAAGAACGTGTCGTTCGCGAGGACCGAGGCGAGACAGGATGGTTCGCGAATTTACACGAACACCAGTTCTCATGCTCAGTGCACCCTGGAACTGGTTACATGCCCGTCCTGCGTGATCATCGTCACCTTTCAAAGCATCGCGCTGTCGCACCATTGCGGCGATGGTAGCGTCACGATAGACAGCCCGTGCAGGTATAATAATTGCCCACCCCGTACTACAGGTGACACAGTATTCACAGTATTATATATATAATATATATAATATAGATATAATATATAATATAATACATATAATATAAATATAATATATAATATAATATATATATATATATATAACGTATCTGTGCATGACCTACCGTTTATACTTCTCCCATTGAATAGCCATTGTTTTTCTAGGTGCGATTACGTGTGGATCTCGGAGCCGCCGTACGAAGACGTGTCCGGGACACCGTTTTGCGGTCTGTACGCGCCGATCACGTATAGGTCGAGCACGAGGACTCTGTCGATTACTCTTCTCTACAGTCAGTCGAGGAAGCACGCGTTCACGTTGGAGTACACCGCGGAGAGTAAGAGAAAGGGAGAGGAGCGTGAAATCACACACGTTGAGCTTCGTTTTTCGAGCGTCTTGATACTGATTTGGTTTTGTAGGGAACAGGTTGCACCTGCGAGGCACAAAGTTGACGGGACAAAACGCGAAAGGGTTGAACAACACCGGCGGTGGGATTCTAACGTCTCCGTTCTTCCCTGCTCGTTACCCCCGTGATTTGGGCTTGGAGTATGTGGTTGCGTGCCCAAGCGAAGCACTGTCCTGTCGTATCAGGTTGCTTTTTAGTGATTTTCAGCTGGCCACTGTGTCGATAATGGAGGTAGATCGCGCGACTGTCTTTGACCTTTGTCGATTTCGGCTAACTTTTCCGTTTGAAAATTTAGTTCTACGATTGGAACGGGCAAAGATTGGACGTCAGCAGTGGCGCGAGATTTCGGCCGCCGGTGATCGTCAGCTCCGGCCCGTCGTTGCTGATACGTTTCTACGCGAACGGCGGCACCGGGCTGGGCTACAAGGCTTTCTACTCGTTCGTGATCGGCAACGCGTTCGACAAGTCCGTGCAGCCGATCACCGACTGCGGCGGCTACGTGGAGAACCTCGGTGGCGCTATCACGATGATGGACATGGTCGGCGAGGGTGTCAAGACCTACGATTGCGTTTGGCTGATTAGACCGCCGAAAAACTTCCTGCACGCGAAGACGCACATGTACCTGAAGGTTGTCGCGTTCGCGGACATGGGTAAGCAACGTTCTCGGCTTGTCTCGAGCTTTCCCTGCTCCGTCACCGTCAACGGCCGTTCTTTCAGCCGGCAACACGGAACTCGTTGTGAGGCAGGGTCCAACGTCCGCTCTGATGCCGCTCGAGACCTTGAGACATCCAGCGAGTCAGGTGCAGCCGATCAGGTACAGGGAACACATCGCCCCTGTGGCCAGCGGTTTCCACGTCAGCCTTAGAGGAACGTTTGGTTCCCCTTCTCACCTGGCGATCGCCTACGCGGCTTTCAGCTACATGGGTAGATAAACGACTCGCGCAGCAATCGTGATCGCACGCTCGCGACTTTGCTATCGAATTTTCAGACTGCTTCGCGGGCTCCGATTTCCTCTGTCGAAACCACAGATGCATACCCACCCAGTTGAACTGCGACGGCTTCGACCATTGCGGCGATGAGAGCGACGAGCCAGCGACCTGTTTTCGAGGTAATCTAAACCCTCTGGTCGCTGACATTCACTGCTTAATCGTAAACTATATTTTGCAGACTGGGAAATGGAGCCGCAAGACCGTAAATGGCACTCGAACAAGGCGAACTATTATTTCCCGAAGATCGACCGCTATCCTGACCTGAAGACGGCTACTCTCGTGTTCGTCGCGAGCAGTCTCGGGCTGATTGTTCTGATCTCGGCGCTGATCGTTCTCCTGTACAAGATGGGAGCAAGGGCGAGACAGCAGAGAGAACTACAGTCGCGGCTGCAGACGATCAGCGAGCTGTTAGGTAGGGGTGCGACCGGCGAATAGTTGTCGTTACCTTACCATCACTTTGGACAGTATTCGACATTGCAGACGGAGCACGAATCGACGAGATCGCGGTGTCGGACGACCCGCCGGTCTATGAAGCGCCCCCTGGCTACGACGAGGTTGTCAAGCTGGGCCTTGATTCGGAGATCTTGTCGCGAAAGAAGAAGAGAACGTGCGGTCAGGATTCGCGTGGAACAAACTCGTAAGTGATCTCCATGTACTATAAGGGTACATGCAACTCTCTTCCTCCGTTCCGCTCGAACACGTTTACCGACCGATTTCTCCATTAGATTGGAGCGATCGTCGGACTGTTCGACGGCGGGTGCGGCGAGCACCAGTCGGGGAAACAGATTGACGATGCCGATTCCAATCAACGACGACGAAGCCGATGCGAATGCCGATTCGGGTCCTCCGAGGCGTATGAACCATCTGCCGGACAGTCCGCCGCCGCCGTACGTCACACCTCCAGGATCGATATCGCGATACTTTGGCTTCCCGAGCATTTATCGTGCACGTGAGTACTCCTGGCGTGTCTCTCTCTCTCTCTCTCTCTCTCTCTCGACATTGCTTAACATAAAAATCGTTCGCAGGCGACAGACGAGACGAGGACGGCCGGGAGGATCGAGGTGAGTCGAGTCGCGCCGAGGAAGAGGGCATTGAGCGTAGAGGAAGAGAGTGGATACGCCGGTCGGGAGCGTTTTCCGTTTCTCTGACGGACAGCTGCGACCAATCGACATCAGAGATGCTAATCCGGTCGTCAATGTCGATCGACGGCGACCTTCTCGGTGCGTATGTTCGAAATCGCGAGATTTCGAGTTCGTTTCGCATGGCCGATGCGTCCTGTGATTCGCAGCCCAGGAGCTCGCGCGTTGCTTTGACCGACACCGAGCCCGAAGGCGGCGAAAGAGGACGAGACGGCGAGCCGCCCAGGGAGGAAACAGTCGCTTCCATGGAACGGCCGGTCGAGAAACCAGCGCAATCGCTGGCAGCCGGGCAGGAGCACGAGCGAGAACAAGAACAGGTCGCGGTCGAGGTCGCAGCTAGCCCGGACGACGCTCAGCAGCTCGGATGTTGTTGCGAGGGAGCTTGCGGTTGCGCGACCATTCGCGATCGTCATTGGCCGCAACTCCGCCACGTTTCTCGAAACGAACGAGAGCCGGAGCCGGATCAGTTGACAAAATCTGTACCCACGGCGGCAGCGGAACGAGACCAGGATGAATCTGACTTCCATCGGTCGAAGAACGCGATTATTAGACTGCTCGGCACTACAGCCGGAAAATGGCAATGCGGAAGTGCCAACTCCACGACCGCGTCCTCGCCCTGCGGCACCTTCAAGAGACCCGTGAGAATGCTCTCGGTTCGCTCTCGCGACGGCTACGCCGGCAGACTCGGAGGCATAGGATCCACCAACAGCTACGAGAAGCTGAGCAACGTCGACTTCGACATCGGCCGCAGAAACTTGCTGAACGTCTCGGATCCGACTATGATCGACGCCAACAATCAACGAGTTCACGCCAGAAGGTACTCCAGCTGCGACATACAAAGCCTCTGCGAGGGAATCAGAGCTCTGGACGGGGTTCTAGGCCACGGCAGCTACACGGCGGTGGCACGTAGCCGCAATCAGTCGGTCACGATTATGCTGTTCGGCACGCCAAGACACGGGATGATTCAACGACGAATCAGCAAGGAGGATCCTGTCAGGCAGCAGGTGGATCGGCTCGCTTGCGCCAGTTCGGACGTTCTTCCCTGTTCCAACTGATACCGGTATCGACCTATGTCCTCGAGATGAAAGGAATTGGTACAGTAATATCGCAACTCCTGCACGTTCTTCGCACCGCAGCTTGCTAAGTAGTCGAACGGTAACAACAAAAATTGCTTTACTCTGATTGCACGAAGACACGCCGCGGAGTTGAACGCGCATTAAAATGGCCTTGATACGAATGCTTGCTAAAGGAGGCGGAAAAGCGGCGCGCAGAAGTTGAGATATTACGATACACATATCGCTGAAGAATCGTACCTTAAACGTTTTGCTTGCAAAAAATGTTTTATTGCTTGTACACGCGTCGCTTTGAAACGCAAACGACGCGGTCCCTATAAACGATTCTATATTATACTCTGTTGGAGTTTTTTTTATCATTTTGTCGTTGCGCGCCATCGTTGCTAATAGAGAACGACTAAAGACGTAGTAAAATATATTCTCTCTGCCGGTATCGCGGGCGTCGCGGTGCACGCGCGCGCGCGCGCGCTTGCTCGCTCGCTCGCTCGCTCGCTCGCTCGCTTGCAATTGTAAATACGTTATATGTATATCTAGGCTCTTAGGGTTAAACGAAGATATGAAGATCTTCAGATATGCTCGACGATTCTTTTCGACGGTGGACGGGGTCTCGAGACACGGACACGAGAACGCGCGCTCGCGCGAGCACGCACACGCGCCAATCGAATTTGGCACTTTGGTACTCGTTGGCAAATCGAAGGTTCGGGGAGCTTCTCTCTCTCTTTCTCCGGGTCTCCTATCTGAGACAGTGACAGTACAATTTGTACCCGCGGTCCAAACACTTCGCCGAGGAGGCGTACGAGTCGAGCCTGCTGACTTCGTGATCGGTCACGGTGTAGGTAGCGTTCTCGTGGTAACGCACGGTCACCTCGAACTTGCCGTCGCCGGGCAACAGCTGGAGCAGATAGAAGTAGACGAGAACGTTCGAGTCGTTCATCTCGACCGCTTTGTTCACCCGCATGATCCTCTTCAGTCGGAGCTTGGCGCAGAGTTGCCTGCCTTTCTTGTCCTTGTAGGCCGAGATGCGCTTGTTCGCGTGATCGACAAACACGGCGGCGCCCTGCTCGACGATCGGGTCGCGAGAGTTCGCGCGATCGAAGGTGGTGCAAGCGCACCAGTGCGAGGATATTCCGACGTCTGAACAGCCTCTCTCGTACGGGACTGGGCCGAGCATGCTCCGACAGTCGGCGCAACCCGGCGGCGGATTCGCTTGGCCGCCGGACCAGCTCAAGACCTCTCTGAGGGTCTGGTAGAGGTCAAACGGTGAAAGGAGCCGATGCTGATTCCCGCGCAGCGACGAGTACGCGTCCGGCCGTTCCAGGCGGAGCCACTCGGGCAGCCAGATGTAGAGGAACGGCAGCCTCTCCTCGTACCAGCCGACGTACGTGTTCCTGATCGGGCCCCACCGCATCCCGTGGTCGCTCAGGAACACGACCATGCTGTCGTTCAACACGCCCTCGCGTTCCAGAAGCTTGAACTTGCCGAGCAGCCGGCCGTCCATCGACGAGATTCCGTTCGAGTTGTCGTGGCTGACGCTGGTCGTCCAGAAAAAGCCGAAGTAAGGCAGGCCGAGGAATGTTCGCGCGAAATCGACCGCGTAGTCGAGGATCCTGTCGAAGCTGATCTCGGGCCCGGTGCAGTACTTTAGGCCGAACCTGAAACAAGGTCGGATGGACTCGGATCTCGGATTCTGTACACCTATACAGTAATGTCTCCCTAACTGACGCTCAGATTCTGCACAAAAATAGAGTAATGTCTCCCTTACTGACGCTCAGATTAATGTCTCCCTTACTGACGCTCGCTAAAATGGACAATTTCGGAAGAGGAGATACGATTATTCGAGCCTCGCGGCTCGTTTTTATAATTGTGGACAATTTATAACTATAAAAATAAATCGCAAGGCTCGAATAATCGTATCTCCTCTTTCCAAATTGTCCATTTTCGTGGTCAATCTGGGCGTCGATTAGAGAGACATTACTGTAAACAATTTGGGAAGAGGAGATACGCTTATCGGAGCCTTGCAGCTCGTTTTAACAGTTGTTGACAATTCGTGACTATAAAAATGAACCGCGAATAATCGTATCTCCTCCTCCTAAATCGTCCATTTTAGTGGACAATCCGAGCGTCGATTAGAGAGACATTACTGTATACAGTAGAACACGTCCGTACACACCTCTTTCTCGATTTGAGCAGCTTCTCGCAGGCGAGTATGTAGGGTCGAAGGTAGTAATCGGTCGGCGGGTCCATGAACCCGACCTTCAGGTAGTTGAAGGTATTCAGGGCGGTCTCGTCCTCGCCGTAGGCCGTGGCGTAGCCCGCCTGGCGGAAGTTCCGCCAGAGAAAGGGACACCGGTCGAGGCCGTAAGGAACGGTAGGCTTGCATTTCGCGTAGGCGTCTGCGAGACTCTGGCCGGTCAGGATCGCCATCAGGTTCGGGAAGGTGTTGTCGGCCATCTTGTTGTAGCCGTCCAAGCGAACCCAGCCGGTCTCGCGCAGGTACTTCTCGGTGTTGGGCGCGCTGCGCAGGAAGTTGAGGCGGCTGACGCTGTCGATGCCCATCATCAGGATGCTCAGCTTCCTCGACAGCGATCCGGCGGCCGCGGTCGTGGTCTCGTTGCGTTGGAAACGGTCGCGCACCTTGTCCAGGCCGATCACAGCGTGCACGTTCCGGTAGATCGTCTTGCCGGAGGACTTCTGGGTGCAGGCGACCATCGCGGCCTCGATGCCCTCGGGCAGCGCGGTGCGTTCGTCGATGTTCTCGCATTGTTTCACCCTGGAAAACGGTCGCGTAAACTGTCGCCTTCTATTCGGTAACGTTCGTCGGCGTTACCTGCTCTGCTGCGGTCATGGTGGACACTCACACGATCGACGAGTCGACGTTCTCCTTGCGGCTCTTCGGCTTGGTGGTCGTACGGTGGTGCGGCGGTGCCCGCCTCGGCGGTCGCGAGTGCGTGTCGTTGGCGGCCGTCTTGGGGTTGGTTGCCCTCAACACGGCCGACCAGCAACACTGCGTGCCGGGCCGGAGCGTCGCGGAGTCCACGAAGAGAATCACGGTGCCGTTTTCGTCGCGGAAAACTCCTGTGAACGGTACCTCGGCCGAGCAGTTCTCGAATTTCTCCTTCTTGAAATACGGCCGGATCACGGGGTCGATCGGCTCCTTCGCCGGCATCTGGCAACGCGGGTTCCACACCAGAAAGCCGTCCATCGTTTCTGGAAAAGTGAAACATCGTGTCGGGTGAAATCAACGCGACGGCTTTTGGCTACTCGTCTGGCTACTCGGACATTCGTTCCCGACCTTCGCTCGTTTTCTGGACACGCGCAAATCTCTCTCGAGCAATTATGCTCATAATTTAGTCATTTATTCTTCTACGGGAGTAACTCATTAATACAGAAGATAACACGAGCGATCGGATCTGAATCGTCCATTCTGATTTCTCTCGCGATCGGTCGTGAAGGAGTGAAAAAGTTGATCGAAACCATGAGATCATGGCAACCGACCTCCATTTCTTATCTCACGCAGGTATACAATATCGGCAGTTGTCTCCTGGATTCTATAGCAAACAGTTTTATTATAATATATGATCTGAGCGTAGCTATGGATGTTATTTGCGCAACGATAACGGTACACCTGTTTCAACTGACACTGACATTTAAAATTTCATCAAGTGGGATCATCGATCCGTCAAATATTAAGGTAACGGGAACAACGAGATAAGGTGATCGTTGAATCTCAAAACTGTCTCGCGATGTATACAAAAATTGTACAAAATAATCATGGTGTTTATTGTATGATCCAAAGATAAGGGTTCGTCGCCAACGCGAACGGCGATCTTCCCCGGCGGATGAAACGTACATTTTAAGAGCCCATCTCGTTCGGAACGGAAGTTACAAAGATACTACTTCCAAAAAGAAAGAATAAAGAAGAATTTTTAGTCAATTTGAAGTTTTCTTCCTCGTAACCTTAAGATTCCAGTAGCAATAAATACGAAGTACAAGGGTAATGCGTTAACAGAATTAGTCAGCGATAATTCGTTATCGTTAAAAAAAAAAAATATGAGTGTCCTTGTGGTTGTGGTTGCCGTTGCCTAGCGTAAACCGACGAAGCGAACGCTAGATGCATTTGTCTAAACCAAACCGTTCCGTAAATGTTCCGTGCCTGAACGGAAATTACACTTTACGTTTCAAAGAAGGTTAATTCGTCGACGAGGCAGATCTCGTTCTTTTTCTACCAATGGCTGGACAATTATTCCTGAGAGTCTCCTCTGTTCTACGCGAGCCGTAAGTCCCGCTCTTCCGCAGGTCAACGGAACTGATAATGTCGGAAAAAGTGTAATCTCGTCCAATCGAGGAAATATTATTTATATACGAACAGTGCCACGTTGCGAAATTATTTTACAAATAAGCAGAGAGGATAAATTTAAGATAAAGATCGGGAGGCTAGATAAACTAAATCCAAATTTCCGCCAATGGAATTGACACGTTGTCTACGGAAAATTTATTTCAAAATCGAAGCCCGATAGTTAAAAATTTCTTAAAAAATCGTTCATTATTACATCAATTGCATCCATAATCCATCAAATAATGTAGATTAATAGAATGCAATAAGTTCTATCGAAACTATTATTTTGAATAATATAATATAATAATATAATAATAATATAATAATAATAATATATATATAATATAATAATATAATAATATAATATAAAATAATATAATAATGAAAGAAACGTGCCGAGCCTCCCTCAGGCTCTTAAATTCGCGCGCAATTTTTCCCGAAAAATTTCTATTTCTCTCATCTTCGTAGGAAAAAGATATTTTTCAAAACAATTTTCCACAGATTAATAGGCTCGAAAATACGGTGCAGCTTTGGTTTCAATTACTTCTGGATATCCTTGCGATTCATAAGCGTTTACGCGGAAGGATCGGTTGCCATAAAACGGTGAATTTTTGTCCTTAAAGTAAGAACCGGGCGCGAACGCAATACGGCTAAATTATTAGGTAGGTCTAATGGTCGCTTGTGCCAAGTTTCGTCCAAATCAGTACGAAGTTTCGGTTCGGACATTGAAAAGCCTATTAATAGGTATCCATCCGGTAAACAAAATGTGAACTATTCGATTCGGTGTTAGCCTGTTAGGTCCAAACGAGACCGCGAACTCGGCTGTCCGAGCTACACTCACCTTCCCCGGCGTTGTACCATTTGTAATAATTCGGGTGCCGTTGCTCGAACGCATAGTCCTCGGCGGAGGAGGCGACGTAGATGATGCTCGTCAGGACACCGATCGACAGCAGCAACAGCATCATCAGGCCGTGCCGCCGACACACGTACTCGATGAGCCGGGACCGAGGTTTCGGGACACGCATCGTCTCGTCGTCCAGCTCCCTGAATGATTCACCTTTCTTCGTGCACCATCTCGATTCTGATATCGCGGTGTTTACGAGATACCAGCCGGCAATCATCGTTCATGCTATCTCGACGGAGCTCCGTGATACCCAATCGGCTACGTGCATGGATCCGCTCGTCCGGTGTCTCACCCTCGTCCTCGACCTCACCCTCGCACGCGACCTCGGCCTCTGGCTCGCGTCACCGATCGAATATCGAGCGTGTACACGAGATCCGTTGCACCTTTAACCCAACAACCCGGTGACCCGACGACGGCGAACAACGAACAAAACGCCCATCCGACCCTGCACGGTCGGATCGACGTAATGGGCCAATTACAATTATTTCGATAGAATAGAACGTGTACGGAGCTACGTTTTTGGCCGAGGTGCCGGCCGGCCGAGAGAGTGTCAACGGCGGAACGCAATAGGGGACGACGCGATAAACGACGCGAATTCCCTTTCGTGGAGCAACTGGCGAGGCCCCGTCGCGTCGACGCGAACGAATCGACCGAATCTCGCGAGCACGACTGCCGACGAACTCGACGACGAACTCGACGAACGCGACGCGCAGCAACTGCCGGGAGCCGAAACGAGTCGAACGGGAACGAGCGACGACGACGACGACGACCAACACCACACAGCCAACGACGGAGATCGATGCATGCGGCATCGAGGCTGCATCAACGACGTCGTGGATGCAATCGCTGGGAAAACGTTGTCCACGGGGATTGTTCCCCGGGTTCCCACGCGCCTCTCCGCTTTCCTCGAGGTTCAGCCGGAGCCGCCGGTACGCGCGCGAAACCTTCCTTTTCTCCCCGACGATGCCCAGGTGAACCGACGACGACCGGAAGGGAGGATACGCTTTCAGAGAGAAGGTACCACAGCGCCTAATTCGTCGTTCTCGAGTCTCTTCTACCGTCTGAAACTCCTGCTGCTCTACTCGGATTAGGCTACGGGAATCGGGGGCATTCTGAAACAGGAAAGAGTGTATCGGTTACGTTCTGTGCCAGGCGTCGTTTCCAGACCGCGATATTCCCTTGATAACTGTCACAACTTCGAGCCTGCCGAGTTGCAGTTATCGTGCAGAGGTTTTCAAAGGACTGCCGCGACCTTTGAAATTCAGAGATCAATGCTCTTTTGTGTTTTGATTTTACGGTTACAATTGCTTGGATAACAAGCGATTCGAATCTCAGGCTTCGATTTGTTACATACGTTAAGTAAAATTATGATAAAATTATGATAAAAGTTTCGTACAAAAGAACGAGAAAAGTTGCAATATCTTGCTTAGCTTGCATTACCGTGAGTCTCGCTGATACTAGACTTTTGACCGGTTCGGTCATCGAGCGTGTTTAACACTTTGAATGCCACATCTACTCGTGCGCGATAACCGAAATTATTTACACGGATCTAACAATTAATTTCAACGTATTATATCTTTCTAATTTTATACGACGTTCAACTTAACTTCTGAATTTTAATTTAATCTGATTTCATGATCGTTTCATTGATACCAAGGTGCCTGTCGATAATTACGGAGAGAATATTGTACTAGCAAAATATCGGTGCCAGTATATGAAACGACTGCGGTATAGAAGGACTTCTAGATGCTCGGGTCGTGCTTCAAGGCCGAAACATTCTTCCATTTGATTTATATTAGACTGTTCATATTACGCGCGCCGTGCTCGCGGCTGACATGCCGTCCGACACTGTCCAAATGTGTTCGCACTTGCAGATAATCCTGGTCCAGGCTTGCTGTGAGTCATGCTGCACCGAAACAAAGCGAGACGGAACTGATACAACGTGGACGCAATCTATCGTTCCAGCGTTCTTTAAAACGCAGTGTCTTTTTTAACATTTGGACCGAACGACTAGAATCTTTTTTAAACGATAGCGTAGTATACGACTACTACTACGACTAATCTACTAAATGATATACTAACCGCAGACGGAACAACGTTTCTCGTCGGAACCGTCCCCGCAACCGTCGCGGCCGCTGCACACGATTGCATCCGATCTGCATCTGCCGTTGTCGCAAGCGAACGGGCAATATCTTACGGAGACTCTTCCACGATTCCGTGTCCGGCAGGCTCCTCTTGGCTCGTCGCTGCCGTCCCGGCAGGACACCACAGCGTTGCAGAATTCGTAGGCCGGCAGGCACTGGCCGTTGTTGCACCTGAACGCTCCCTCCGGACACTCTGCGGATCAAGTTGATTAATCATCTGATATTCATCAGCTATGGTCATCGTAATGATCTGAATCGTTTTCTCCGAGCTCTTTGCACACGGAGCTATTTTACAGCTCTAACACTGTTTGCTTTGCACACGGAGCTCTAAATCCAAAATACTAGTATTCCCATCTTATATAATTATTAAATAATATATATTATACAATATAATATATAATAATATTATATAATTATTGTTAATACATTTTATGCGTACGAAATAAAATCTTGAAACAATCTTAAACGTAACAATTATTTTGAAGCGTGACATAACAATTTTTAGCGGTGGCCTAAAATTACTTAACGCTTTGACTGTCATCAAATCAAATTATTTTCTTTAACTGAATAAACTTGCAAAGTAATGTTGCACGACACGACGTTCTGCGGATCCCAGTAAAATCAGGAGTTTATAATAAACGTAAAAATTGATTCTCAAATCTGCAAACGTTTGCTCGAATACGTAACGACCAATCTAAGTCCGAGCGAAGAACCTACGCACGATCAACGTGGCAACCAACGTGGCAGCCAATATGTTAATCCAACAATAGGGACTTTTCTTCCGTTGATCGCATAAACCAATTATTATTGTTATTACATAACTCACTTCGACGATCGTTGCAGCCGATCTCGTCCTCGCCGCGGGGGCAATCTCGGACGCCGTTGCAGACGGTCGCCCTCGACACGCAAGTGCCGCTTCTCCGGCAGCGAAAGGCTACGGACGAACACTCGGTTTCCGGGTCGGAACATCGCTCGTCGGATCCGTCAGGGCAGTCCGATCGGCCGTCGCAGACGAAAAACCAGCTGATGCAGGCTCCGGTACTTCTGCACTGAAAGGTGCCCGGCGCGCAGCCCCTCTTTCTCGCGGTGCAGGTCGAGTTCCCTTGGAACCCGCAGTCGCAGATGCCATCGATGCACCTGAAACAGGATGGCCCTTATTATTCGATCTTCTATTTTTTTTTCTGTATGCGAGGAAATGACGTGTGCAAAATTTCCGAGCACTCGGACAACGAAAATACGTACCGCGTTAGCGTTAAAATTTGACGCTAAACCTGCCGATCGAATTGACCGGATTAGGTCAATTCTTATAGTTAAGAACCCCTATGCATACCTGGAGTTAGGATCCGCGAGCCGACACTCGAGGTTCGAGACGCAATCGAGACCCAGGCTGACGGGTGTCGCGGCGTTCGGCTCGTGGCGGTCCGACTTTTCGCCTGCTTTGTCCAGATCTAGGACAAACAAGACATCGTCTCCTATTCGAAGAGTACGATTCGCGAATCCATATTCTTGTGCGCGCTGAACAATGCAGAACTTTATATGGCTCGTATAATTATCACCACGGAATACCATGTACCGAGGGTGGCCGAATTGTTATACACAAGCAAGAAATGTTATGCTTTGTGAGTTGAATAATATATTAATATTTTAATGATAATATTTGTCGTTAGGTCCATGTAATAAGGATCCAAAATTAGGTCCACGTACAGGTCGAATTTCGCATATTTTTAGTAAAAATCTTCTCGGTATAATCATTTTTCCATCCTCCGTATACAAGGTGCCCAAAAATGTCTCGCAATCCGGAAATAGCGGGTTCCCCAGATCATTTGAAGCAACTTCTTCCTTTACAAAGATTTTCTCCGAGGCACCGTTAACGAGTTATTAACAAAAAGACAGTGACCAATAAGAATCGAGTACGGCTGACGCGAGGCGGCCCAGCTAATCAGCGTACGAAGCCCAGTTCCGCTCATTGGCTCGGTCGCCTCGCTCGGTTGCCTTGGAGAAAATTTTTGTAAAGGAAGAAGTTGCTTCAAATGACCTGAGGAACCCGCCACTTTCGGATTGCGAGACATTCTTGGGACACCCTGCATATTCCAGTCCGGCGATAGCCCGCGCTGATAACGTTATTCAATATTTAGATGCAAAGCGTTCTCCAGCCGCTTAAATAAATAAATAAATACCCAAAGGCCACTCGTCGATCGACCTGAGCGTCGTCGACGATTCCGCATCTTCGACCGCGTCCACAACGATGGTGTCGTCGTCCTCATTGTCCATCGCCATCGTCGAATTCTCCTGCGAATCGTCCAACGAGTTCGGCCAAGGAATCGCGGCGCCTGCGATCAGGAGCAAACGATGAAGTCTGGCATCTGAATTGAGAATCGAGTCGATGATTTACCTGGTTCGTCGCGTCGGTGGTCCTCGGACGCGGAGATGCGGTCGTCGTCGACCGAGGCCGTTTCCGTCGAGCTCGATTGGCCGCGCTGCAGGGGCGGCCTGATCAAGTTGTCTGGTCTGCAAACGTCGTTCTCGCGCCGCATCGGCGCGGTGCACCGGCACCGGCCGAATAAATCCGGGATCACGAAGTCGCAGTGGGAGTTCTCCTGCCATAGTCTGCAGTGGCCGTGGTTGTAGCAGACCTCGCCGAGCTTCGCCGCTGAAAAGTTTCGAAGCGCCCGTTTCGTTTCTCTTACCTCGCGACACGCGGATCCATCCATCCGTTCATCGTCGTCTACTTACGTTCGAGACAGGTGTGACGACGGAACTGCAGGAAACCTTGCTTGCAGCCGCAGAATCCGTCGACGCAGCCGCTGTTCGCCACCTTCAGCGAGCACTGCTCGTCCACGAAGCATTCCTCGCCCAGCAGCGTCGCTGTTTCACCAGAGAACGTATCGCGTTGAACGGTTTCGTTCGTCGGGAACGCCGCGGAGGAAGCGGAACAAACGACTCTTACCCTCGAGGCACAGCGTCTCGTTGTACCGGGCGAAGTACGGCGTGCAACGACAGGAACCGCGGCGACAGTGGCTGCCGGCGGTGCAGTCCTCGTCCGCGGTGCATCGGTCGCCGAGGTTGCCGCTTCCGGTCGCCGTGGAAGACACCGCGAGGACGCCCTGCAACGCATCGACATAGACTTTAGACCTATCTATTCCGTCGTTTCTAACGGGAGAACACGTAAACGGAGCCGAAGCAATCGAACGCTGCAACGGAACACCTAACAGTTGCCGCTTGTTTCGCTGGTCTACGCACCGTTAGCCGCCTCGAGAAGAGGACCAGTCGCGGGCGCGCTGCGATCCGCTTCGAACGCGCTGCGAGAAAAGCCTCGAGGAAAGTTGCCGGGAAAATTGTGTCGCGATGCATTTCAGAATCGGCGATCGAGAGGGATCATCCGATCGATCGGTAGTGTTCGATCGTAGATCGTTCGTACCGAATAGCTCGAACGGCGGATGCGCGCGACGAGAACATGAAACGATTTTTCAAGTTTCCCGGCGACGCGTGGAAATGTCGTCGGCAAGTTCGTTGAACCCGAAACGGTTGTTTAGACTCACCAAACAGTAGATCGCGATCCACGGGAAGAAAATCGTGCCACGATTTCGGCGCATCGTGTCCGGTTTGTCGGCCGTGCAACACGATCTCCCGATAGATCCACCGATCGTGTCGTTCCCACGGGTAATGGATCCGCTCGGCTTGCCCGCGGTGACTCGCGCGAACAAGACCGATCCTGGATCAAGCTTTATCCACGCGTGCTTCGACATCGCTGAGCGCAGACTGAGCGGGACCCAAGACGCCTATCGGGCCCCAACGCCTTTCGGGCCCCGATGGAAAAGCGCGAACGCAACCTCTCTGTCTATCTTTCTATCTTTCTCTCTCTTTCTCTCTCCTTCTTCCTCTGTCCCCTCTTTACCACGGTCTCGGTCTCGGTCACGGTCTCGGTCCCGGTTGCAACCTTGGAGTCTTCCTCCGAATTGTTTCCCTTCCGCGAGAATTTACATTTTTCCGCGTAACTTTGAACGCGATCTCAAGATTGTTCGAGCTTCCGTAAGAAGATTGCCTCGCGGGGTTCTAAGCGAGACCGGTTAGACGCGCCACGCGAGTTCCCGAGGTAACGAGCGCTGAGAAGGGGAGAGGAAAAGGGTCGGCGAATCAGTAGGGCCGTGGCGAACCTAATTTTCGAACTGCGAGACCTCTCCCCCTCCCAAGAGTTCCCGAAGAGGGAACTTCGCGGCTCATTGTTATTCAAAAGAGAGGACGCGTCGCGTCTTCTATTCAGCCGCGGCCGTAGTTGTCGAATCGTGTCGCGTCGCGATGCCCGATCGCCGTGGCTGATCGTTATGGGAGATCGGTATGGCCGATGATGGCGCGATGGCGTGTCGGCGCGTCGGCGCATCGGTGCGTCGATGCGCGAGATCTTACATTATCCAATTCATTTGACGCGCTGCCTATACCCAACGACCGCGTCCACTTCCGGTCTTGTCCGTTGGTCTCGTCCGTAGACGGGACGCACGAAACAAGTATGAAAACCGCGGCGAGTGGGAAGCGGAAAAAGGAAAGAGGAACGAGGAAAGGGGAACGAGCGCGCACCGTTCGAGTAACAGGAAGCGGCGCGATCAACTACGTCGGAATGTAAATTGAGGATCGACCGAGACTCTCGAACAAAAGAAAAGGTTGCCACGAGCGGCTCCGTGTAGACGTGCAGAGGGACGCCTCCGGCGAGAGGTAAAGGACCCCCAAGGAAGTCCCGTAAAACCGTGCAAGGTGCAGCCCGATCGAAATTCGTGACCGCCGGTCGTGAACTCTTGATCGCCACCCTTCGATACGGATCTCACGATGGAAAATGTCCAGGCAGCAGAAATTCCTAGAGACGAAGAACAACGGCCCGGAGACTTTTAGAACGTCCTCTGCTCGCCCTCTGCGTTCTAAAGAAACCGATAAGAGAAATCGGGATAAGTAAATGCATTAATGGTAATGATGGTAATGGATACAGGGTGCAGTAATGTCTCTTTAATTGACGCCCAGATTGTCCACAGAAATGGACAATTTGGGGAGAGAAGATACGATTATTCGAGCCTTGCGGTTTGTTTTTATAGTTGTTGACAATTCGCAACTATAAGAACGAACCGTAACGATTATTCGAGCCTTGAAGCTCGTATTTATAATCGTTGACAATTCGTGATTACAAAAGCATACCGCAAAGCTCGAATAATCGCATCTCCTCTTCCCAAATTGTCCATTTCTGTGCGGTCAATTATCGCGGACAATCTGAGCCACAAGGCTTGGATAATCGTATCTCCTCTTCCCAAATTGTCCATTTCTGTGCGGTCAATTATCGCGGACAATCTGAGCCACAAGGCTTGGATAATCGTATCTCCTCTTCCCAAATTGTCCATTTTTGTGGACAATCTGAGCGTCAGTAGGGGAGACATTACTGTAATATGTGACTACTGTGGTGCAATTGGTACAACTTTTTCATCTATATAAAAAGAATAAGACTAAAGTGCTCAATTTTCAAACTGGTCTTCCTCGAAAACGACTCTTCAGATCGAACAACGCTATTTTCCATTTTCACCTGATTTTTTTATACCGATTTCACCCGCTTCTCACCTCCAATTACATGACACCTTGCAATATCTTCACGCGGTGGAGGATAGAGATCAAGGACTAGATCGAGGAGAGAGTTTCGATTCGCGTACAATCGCGAACAAAAATAATTTTTTTATTCGCGATCGACCTCGAAATTGACGCCTGGTATAATAATTACCAATGATTTGATATCTTTCCCAATTTATCTCAGCCGCCACGGATGCGTTCCCATTACACGTCGTTATCTGGCCAAGTATCAGCAAATTATGCGCTAACGACGACATTACTCGCCCATTCTGATCTTCGTGCGTTCCATCTCTCATCGTTGCTTCTCCGTAGCTGCTTTATTCTCTTGGTATTAATTAGGCCTCGGTTATTAATTTTCGCAGTGTGCGTATTTTGCTTCCTCTCCTCGTTCCTACATTGTGAGACCTTCCGAGACCTTGCGAGACCTCGCGAGACGACCGTGGGTTCCGCGCATAATTTCTGTGCACGCAACGGGAACAGATTATGCATTGGGAGCAGCACCGAAATTCGTCGATCTTAATTAAAAAAAACCGAGTCGAATTTTGCATAGAGCGCATTCCATTCTTCAAAATTCCGACGCTTCTCATTTCGTGTAGATCGTGTTATCTGATAGGAAAGTGTTGACGGAATTAAAGAATATCTGATCCGCATACAGTGATAGCGATACGTGTAACAGAAACAATTACGGCAGTTTGTGCTGTATGGGATATCTGTATGATCATTGTGAACAATTTAAGTCCGAGACTCTTAAATTTGAGCTATTGGTTTACGAGTTATTAAATTTTCCAGAAATTTCCCTTGCCGAATTGATCCGAGAAAGAATTCGTATAAGAAAAAAAAAAAAGTGGTATGAAATATAGAGTAATATAGTTAGATAGATATACAGGGCGTGTGCAGAAATATTCAGGAGGTTCTGCTGCATCGATGTTATATCAAACAAATTATATTCACTATTGCAAATATATGAATGAAATATATAGAATGAATATATCTTACCGCTTAGTCATAAGATACAATGTATGTAAAATCCATCAAGAATCAATCGCTGTTTTGACGATAGTGGCGCCGCTTGTGACGGAACAAGAAAGCTCCGTTCAGAGCCCGTGTAGCGCCAATTAGTAAATGAAAAAATGCTGGAACTGTTAGCCAAATTATACCGACACACGTAAATCACACACGCGATAGTAGCACCTCTTTTGGCAGAATCTCGAGGTTCCGTACGGGGGTTCGTACAGCGCCAATTAGTTTAGTGGCAAAACGTTGAAACTGGTAGACAAATTTATCGACAATTGGATGTGGCTAGCAGTTTCCACGTTTGACCATACACTAATTGGCGCTGTACAGACCTTGAATGGAGTTTCCAGTTGTCGCCACAGGCGACGCCACTGTCGTTAAATAATTTCTTTTAGAAAAATAATCGCAAGGATTAAATATAACTTTGAGAATGATTGATTGATTGATTTATAATTAATTGGCACTTTATGCACATTTAAACGGAGAACGTGATCCGAAATTTGTACGGTATCTTATGACGAAAACAGTGAGATCATCTCCGCTCGAGTAAAAAAATAATATTTCAATATTTTCCCGTTGAGATATTTTCATTTTTGAAAAATGCGTTTCGTGATTGATGGATTTTGACTTGAATACATTTATGATAACGCACTGTAAATATTTATTTTTTCCTGCTTACGAATGCATGCATACCAGAGTAAAAAATTGCCAAAAGAAAATTTAGAATTTTTAGTTTCTAAATAATTTTCCTAAGAAAAGCTATATTTTATAGTTTTGATTAATTTCGTTCTCTTTTCGGAAACAATTGGAAGACAACTTGTCTTAATGAGTGAAGATTTCAATGATGTTTCGCGTAATTGATTACGCTAGAGAAAATAAAACGTGGGAAGACAAGAAATAACCAAGAGCATGCTGTTTTTTCAAATTGAAATTTATATTTCATATAAAGCGCCACGACGAATGAGTCGTGTCAATCGGTTTCTCATTGGCACGTGTTTAGTTTGAAATCGCCGATTTCAATTCGGGATTGGTTGTAATTAATGTTTGTGGTCAGTGGTTGTGATCGTAATGTTTTCGTTGCGATCGGTTGCGGTGGTTTCGTTCATAAAGGAATTTCATTTCCCTCACATTTATATCTATGCCCAAATGGTTTCGAACAGAAAAATCGATAATCAAAGCTTAGGCCGAGCTCGAACATAAATAAAAAAAATGGAAGGCACGCGACTGATAGTGGAACGCGTTCTTTCATCTATTGTGTGGAATTGAATAAAGAATGGCCGGGAAGATGGCGGCGGCAGAGTTAAAACATGACAATGCTTCGTGCTACGAAACTCAGAAAAGAAATGCATCGACAGCGATGTCGCACAGGGAAATCGAATGTTACCGGTTCCGATTATTCGATTTAATTTACTACATGATATCTGTCAGTTTTTTTTTCATCGATATAGCAACAGGTGAACAAAAAAAGAAACAATACCATGTATTTTCTCTATTGCATTTAGAAATTCTGTTTCGATCGATCCATGATAATCGTGATTGACGAATGCTTGATCGTCAACGAAGATAAACAGTTATTCACGAGTCGAATGTATCGTTGTCGTTAATATATAACATATATTAGACATTATTACTGTTGTGTGTGTGTATTGTTTTCATGCTAGTCTTTCACGGTACAATAACAATTATTACTGAATAATATATGTATTGTATAATAAATATAAGCTACAATTAAATACTGTGTTATGATACAAAAGAATTTCATTCAATCGATGCCTATTACACTTGATACAGGTTTTAAATGCAAATTATGAGACAAGTCGATGCGTATAACGTTCATAAATAAAATGCGTTTAATAAGCGTATCTACAAATAATATATAAATTATTATTTGATTCTTCTTTTTTGTAGACAGTATTGTTTTTACGGAGTATTTTTTACAAGGCCAATTTATCTGGGGATGCTTTGCCTTGAGTTTCACAATTTTACCCGCTGCTGTTATACAAATGTTTAGTTTGAGATGGTATCAAAGCGATGGCTCCATTAAAGCTATACATTGGCTGTTACATTTTCTCTTTTTAGGAGTATTACAAAGGTATTTTTTTTTTTAAATTCTTGTATTCTAATTACTTCACGATCTGCGGTCGTGTTTTCTCTGAGAGAAAGTATTTTTGTTTTTAGGTATTTAATATTACTTTATGCTACAATTTATTCATTGAGGAGCAAACGATTTGTAAAGGATAAAAATTGGGTATACAGACAGGAAAGCGATATATGCATGCTACACCTGTTCGAATCGTTTATGGGGGCTGCTCCGCAATTAATATTGCAGCTATACATTATGGCAGTATTACGTCGTACACCACTGTGGACAAGTAAGGGCAATTGAAATAGTCACATTACCTACATTTATGGTAGAAACCGTTAGTGCACAGCTTCTGGCTAAATGCAACTATTTATCACATTCATGTTTTTATCACTAGCAAAGACAAGTGTCTTTAAATTATCACAGAGGTAAATAAGAAAACAATTTAAAGTCGTTTTCGTAAACCTTATTAATTACGTCGAGTAACGATCGAGGAACATTCTGCATGTATTCTTTAACTAGAGCAGTAGTTGTAACTCCTCGCGGATTTATGTTTTTCAAATCGCTCTTTTCGTATAAATAATTGCCTAAACCTAGTTCTTGTATCAAAAACTGTTGATCTCTGTCGAAAGTATCGAATTTCAAGATGTAATTATATTGAATTAAACATGGTTCGCACGTATCGATGAACGGCGCCCAATGTTCGTCAAAATATTTTTCTTCCGCAATGAAATGCAGAAATTCTGTGAATGTGGGTTCTAACTTCGTTTCGTTCGGTTGTCTATATTTGTGATACCTGTGCGCGATATGACGCCCAAATCTTTTGTAGTAGTAATCTCTTCCCTGTATATGTTCTAATTTATCTCTGTATGCGGACACAAGACGTTCAAATGGATGTCGAACGATAAGAAATTTCATTGTTTTATTCAGCTTCTGCAACAGAGAATTTGGTATGTTTTTCTGTGCGTGTGTTTCAATCTATTCTTATATTGTTTTACTACATACTTGATATGCTTTTTTCATGTCTCTGTCACGTGGGAATGCCTTTCTGACGATAGTATTAATTTGCAAAATATCTCGGCGGATCAATTCCATAGCTGTTTCCGTTAGCACACCACCGAGTGTAGCAAAATGCTTCATCCACGTAGAACTTGCAGCTTTATATATGGGGCACCATGATATCGCGTGCACTCTGCAAGGTATGCATCCGAATTAACGGAGGTTTTGCGAAATTACGTTTATATCGTACTTACGTATCGATGATCATGTTGGACAATACATTGTCTATGTTCGACACTGGTCTTACAATACTTTTGCAATACTTTTCCAATTCATTTTTTCTATTGCTCAATTGCAATCTTATGTTCTCCATTTCTTTCGTCGTCAATGTAGTTAAAGACGTTTTATTTCTGACCGGATCGTAATGTTTATAATATTTACTGTCGATGTAATTCACAAATTTCAAATGTTTACTCGTTTGTAAACACGAATTGTGCAACAAGTTCAGTAAGAATATCAACGACACGAATATTATAGCTACTATTGTAATCAGTTTCACTAGTGTAAGCTGCCTCTGAAACGAAATATATATGTATATATATATATATTTTTTCATTTTCATTGAAAAACAAACAACTGAGAGAATACTTACATGTAGTCCTAAGAACATGTTACTAAATACATGTAAACACTTCACTTTTAAAAAACATGGACGTATGTTCGTTTGGCTCTCGAGTTCCGTCACTTTTGCCGTTGGCATTTTGTATTCTCCTGTTGTGTATAAAAAAGAATTCTCTAAAATAATAATACTGTCGTCAGAAAGATGCTGTAGCACACAGAGTTTGGAAGAGAACTGTAGCTCTGAGTCTGCATATTTTTATTTCCTGCGGCGGCCCGCCCCCACAGATAACAGTGGCAGGAACAAAGATATTCTGGACAGGTTCTATCTTTTCATGGAAGACGCATCTCGATCCACGATCGAACCGTACAACTACTGGTTGTCTATATCATAAGGGAAGCCCGTGCTATGACGACTTTAAAAATACTACTCTCTTCCTCGAGCAGAGCGTGGGAGCATTTAAAGAGCTAAAAATAAGACGACTACCACTGTCTCTGCTCCACGAGAAAAAGAACCACGGACAGTCAGTATTTATGTTTAAACGAATAATCCAACAGGTCTGTCGGCCGTAGTGTCCTTTTGTTCGCTGAGCTGGGCGATAGGCACCTATACGAAAGCGATGCACAAAATAAATCCTGATCACGAGGCGACATGGGTGGCATTGACTCTTCAGAGCCTCTGGCGAGCGGGTATGCTGATCTCCAGAATAGCCGTTTTGGTCTTAACGGCGCTTTGTCTAAGGGAATGGTTTTTGTTGTTCCTGGGTAAGTGTGTCAGCAGAGGCTTCTACCAGCGGCAGATAAAAAACGCCGACTAGAAATAGATTTATGCGTTCGACGGCGGTGCGCCTCATAATTCCCTCTGTTCGCAGGACTCCATTGGCTGTTTATGACCGTTTGGGTGATCCTACAGAACACAGACTTCTGTCCGACGATGTGGGAGGAGCGTATTTATAATTGTATCATAGGGCTAATTTATTGTTTCGATTTCTTTAATCTGCGGGTTGGCCGGTCCCGGTACAGAATGCTTATCTTCTACTTCGTCGTGACGGTGGAGAACACAGTATTCCTGGTGGTCTACGTGTTCTGTTACAAGAACACAATCAGGACCGAGGAGATCGCGACAGTGACCAGCCTGGTGGCCGGAGGGATGATGATCGGTTTGTCGAGTATGCTACTTTACTACGGTAAATATCATCCCTCGAAAGTGATGATCGGGGGCGGGTCGATGGCCGCCGACGACAAGCGGACCGAAACGGCGATCAAGACGACGGGCACGCCTCGATCGTTCAAACAGTATTACGCGAACTCGTCGTGTTCCGTCGGTCATTCTCAAGGGACTGCGTCCGAAGAGGTCACCACGGACAAGCAATCGTTGCTAACGAACATCGTGCAGAGCTCGGACTGCGCGGAGACCGGCGTTATCAACCAGAGCTGCAAGGTCGCCAGCGAATCGAAGACTGCAGCCGTTCGCGTCGTCTCTGAATGCGAGTCGGCGCACAACGATGCTCCCCTGAAGGACGAGGGTGGCGGGGGCGGAGCTGGGGGTGAATCAAAGGGGTCGTTCCTCCCAGACACCGCGGCCCGAGAATTTGAGATGCAGAACGACTGCAACGATGCTGCTGAGAAAAAGAACGTTCACCGGCAAAAACGTAGAGGCATCTGCCTGCCGACGAGCCACGGCTTCGACATAGAGACCATGTCTACCGAGGCACCAGCGTCGTCGAATTTGCCGGGGCCGTCGCGAAAGCGGCAAGGAATTTGCTTCTCGACCCAGTTGATTCTCGAGATGGAAAACGACGAGAACGACAAGCTTGCGGACAAGAAGTTGCAAAATATGAGCGGGGCTCACGACGATCTGCTGGAGGACAGATCTATCGGCGAAACTCGTAACGGAACGAGCGAGAAGGAGGACCATGAAACCGTGAACAACGTCAAGATCTCCGGCAGGGATCGCCTGAAAACCCCGCCGATTTTCGACGATGCTCGTGAGAAGATCTCGGAGACCGAGAAGCTGACGAAGGAGCAGAGGGACGAGACCATGAGCTGCGTCACCTCCATACACGACTATGAAAATGTCTGTCCGTTAGGAGTAGCTAGACCCCCGTGGTGCATTCGTAGTTGGAAGGGGTACACGGACATAGAGACTTATATTCATGACGACAGCGTGGTCAGGGATAGACGGAGGGATACTTTGACCAGCACCACCACGGGGACGACGTATAGCTCGGAGTTCTCTGATATAACTTGCGTCAGCTCGATACTCAGGGGGATTTTGAAACAGGACGACTACCTCGACACGTTAGCTTACGACCTGATCGATCCCAGGGAGTTAAGAACGGTTCACAATGAGGATGCGTCCACTGCGAAGAGGCCGTCCGAAACGGAGGAGCAAAATGCCACCGTCTATATCGCGAAACCCGTGGTGATCGACGAGAAGGGCGGCATGTTTGCTCTGGACACCATTCTGGAGGAGCACGACGAGGAGAAATTAGATTACGGTAGACCGGCCCGCGATTCTGTTAGCACCCTGGTGAGCACAATCGATCAGATCAGAAGGTACACGGCGGACAACTCGCCGAGGCACGTGTACCATACGACAGGGTCCCAGTGGGAGGACTTCGATCCGAAAAACTTGATCAAGAAGGCGCAGCTAACTAGGGCGTTGTTCAAGAATGATCTGAAAGATCCTGCCACCTGCAGCAGGAACTACCTGAACAGCCTGGATGAGTCGGATTCCATCGTCCGAGGTAGATGCGAGATAGACGCTATCAGGGACTTGGTCAAGTATTGCGCGATCGAGTCGATCAGGAAGACGCCGCTGATAGACGCCATACTATCGGACTCGCCTATTCTGGGCGGCAAAGCGAAGCAGCTGCAGAAGCAGCAGAACACGTACCGGGAAAACGAGACCGATTCGAAAGACAACGATCTGTACGTCGAGATGAGTCCTCTGGTTCCTATCGTTCATGATGTTCAAGTCGTACAGAAGAACTTCTCTGGCAGTCCCGAGTCTGCGAAGACCTGCAACGCCGTTAGCGTTGTTCCGCCGAACGTCTGTGCAGAACCCACGGATCTGAATTTCGGAGAGAAGACAGAATCCCCTGAGAAGCGCAGGAAACCGATGAACTATCCGAAACGGAAGTTCTCGTTGTTGAAGGAAAAGTTCGAGGCTAAGTCGCAACTAGTCTACGTCGTCACGCCGAACAACGCCATCAAACTGGGACAGCCTGCGGTTTCCACCGAGTTGGACACGTCGAAAAAGAACACGTCGGTTGTCTCGAGGAAAAGCACAGACCTCTCCGCGAGGCACGACAAAGAGAACTTGGCTCCCGCGGCACCGTTAAACGTCGTGCAGCCGAAGAATCCTCCTATCGACCGATGCCCCGCGAATCGGGAGAAAACCGACTCGATTTACGAAAACGACAAGTCTCGTGATACCGATTTAAATCTAAAACAGAGGAGGCACATATTTTTGGAGCAGGTCCTGTCACCACCCAAGCTGCTCACGTGGAACAAGAGAAGGTCCCTCGTCGGCTCTGCTGTGAAAAAGTTTTAGGGCTGCTGGCACCGCCCTTGCGAATTGCTCCCAAAGGCCACATTTACGAGCAAACGGCGACAGTGAAAGAACAGACTGTCCACACCTTAAACAAAGACTTATCTTTCTTTTGCTGGTATTGCTTAGCTGGCGGGGAGCATTCGGTACACTCTTAAGAATCTATGGTACGAGCTTCCTCACAAGAGTGATATTTAGATTTATTTTTTTACTAGATCGATGTCTTCCTGTGTTCTGGTCGCATACCTCTTCGGTAGTCGGCTCAGAAACAAGTTGTATTATGTACTGTATCCATTTTTATTAAGTATGTAAATCGATTACATCGTTGCCAAGTACGATATTACATTATACAATATTAAAGATCTGTAATAATTATACATATGAAAATTATTTTTATATACAACAATGTTATGTATAATAAAAGACCTTTTTTTACATAATAATATATGTATATGTATACATATATATATGTATATATATATATAATTTTAATATTTATTATAATTATAATTATATAATAATTTGTATTATATATAATTATATATAATAATTAGAATTAATATATATGTATATGCATATATATATATTTATGTACAGGGTGAGTCACTAAAAATTGGAGTCCGAAATGTCTCTGTTGCTTTCAATGGTACTGAAAAAAATTCGGATCAAAGAAAACAATTTACTTTGAGAACATGTGCTGCTTTGAACCGAATGTTTTACTCATCGAAAATCTTTCTTCGTATCGTAAAAAAACAACAGAGACACTTTAGTGTATCACGAAACTCACCATGTATATGTATATATTTTTTTCTTTTTTAAATGGCACTGGAAAACATTGCATGTTATTGCGATGTAGAAGGAAACTACAACAAGTAGATCGGAACGTATGTGGTAAACATCGAGATTCAAAAAATTCTCTAAAAACAGCACAGTTGCAATAATAATGATAACAACGATTATTATTATTATAAGAAAAATAATCCTATCTTTTATTACGAAGTGGCGTACACCGCTTGCCCGCTTGTCTACGTGTCTAAATTATGCATACGTTACCGTAAGTTTTATCAGTGCAATCTTTACTGTACTATTTAACATACAATTAATTACTTTTACCGTACACTTAATACTTACTTCGTGTTTCTACGCTCGCGGAATAAATCATATTTCTCATTAAAGTGATTGCATCATGCAACATTACGTTCGTAAAAGCAAAGAGAAAATAAATAATGAACCTAGTGAAATTGAAAATAAACTAAAACTATACTGTCAGTCTTTTCAGTTGAAAGTGAATTACATATGTAGACGTTCCCCGTCACGTTCGTCTGATATGTGATACAATGATCGGCAGTCAAACAAGTTCCGTTCAAATAACCAGACACGCATTATTCGCGTACAGCGTCTCTTGAACACAATATTATTGCACAAATAACTTATAAATACCTTCGCGGTTTTATCCTTGTTAAAACTAACAGCGAATCGTCTACACATAGAAAACGTGGAAAATCGTTGGCATTTGAAACACATCTTGATCGCGTGTATATCCATCGTGGTACACGACCTCGTTTACTATGTTCAAATTAAGGTGCTCTGACCGGCACCTGCGTTTTTGTCGTACTTCTTTATCCACTTAATGTGACAAATTAATGGCAGGCTGCGCAAGTTATTGCATATCCGTGTGCCGAGTGAAATTTTCCGCAACTCTTGAGCAACTTGATGTAGCGATTTGCCTTTCGTCTCCGGGATGAACAAGAACACGTAGAATATGGTGATCAAACACATGAAACTATAAAATAGATACGATCCGGCCAATGTCAGCGATTCTGAAAGTGAATTGTGTATGTAGGTACATTGATCGCGAAGCAATTTCCATAAGAAAACAAAGGGCTCACCGATCAAAGCGATAACCGACTCCGTGGCAATAATGTGCGTCACCCATATGATGATAGTGAGAAGACTGATGCATTTTCCGCGGATCGCTGCAGGGAAGACTTCCGTGATATTCAGCAGTGGTACTGGCCCGAGTCCTAAAGCATAGGCAGCTTCGTACACGAGCAATGTTATCACCGCCAGAATACGCAGGCCGCCGGTGAGACCTTCCGAAACGATAATGTTTTGCGTCTGCAAAGCAAGAAACATGTTATCGATGGTCAGCGGCAAGAAGTCATTTTATGCTTCCTTCGCTGGAGTATGTACCTCGCAGGAAGATTTCACTTGAGTCCATGTCTCTGGACTAGGGGCAACCATGGCTAATGGTGTCGGCAATAATGGGAATGGCGGCGGAGATCCAGCTGGCATAGCGTTCTGAACCTTGATCTCCTCGTTGCGGTAGTTCTTACAGTAAGGAGTTACTATGTCCAAGTTCTCGTCGCTTCTGTCTATTGTAGCTAGCAGTGACAACAATGATATCGTTGTCATACAGATCGTTGCTGAGGTGATAAGCGCGGTCCTTCGTCCGCATCTCTCTACTATGATCAACGAGAGCACCGTGCTGAACACTTTCACTACGCCAAGAGATATCAAAGCCGTGATTTCGGCAACATCTGCAAGACAAATAGTTTAGAGACATAGCTCCGATGGTAGAGCAAAGCAAACGAAGCTTCAGGACTTACTTGAACATATGCCCAGCAACGCGAACAGTCGTGGTGCATAATATAATACCTGGCGTTTGCCAGTACCCTGATGAAGTATCAATAGAAAAACCATGATCGTGAAAGTTTCAAGAATCGTGTGCCAAGCATTTTTCGACGGTGTCTTGGAGACGTTCGTCATGCGTTTATAGAGCAAGAACGGTGGGGACCGTTGAAGAAATATAATGGTAATGATACAAGCAGCCAACGAGGGAACAGCGGTTATGCCAATAGAAAAACGCCACTGATAGTCTATATTCTTCACGGCAGCGGCAATAACGGAAAACAAGAATCCGGTGGCAGTGCCTAATTGGTACAGCATTACGTTATATCCGCGTTTATTCGAGTCGGACACCTCAGCCATATAAATGCAATGTGCCACGGTTGAGACAGATCCAGAATATCCACAAATTATTCGCGCAACGAGAAGTAAGATGTAATGGTTTGCCAATGCCGATAGCGTTGCGCCGAAAGTTAAAAAGACCAGCGTCAATATCATCGTCCAACGGCGGCCAAACGAGTCGATTAGAAATCCTGCAATACAACATATTGTTAATGTTTGAATTAAATTTTTTTACTACAGTATTAGCATCAATTCCTGCACATTTGTCTTCCTTCCTAAGCAAGTGCTTATATTAGGACTGTATCCAAAGTAATTTCTATTCATATCCTTAACTGCTTAACAAGCTACAGCCAGAAACCGTGCAGGAGTTGGAGCTAGTACCGAACGTAGAAAAGTAGTTTCTATGTTGAAGTCATTGATAACATAGTTTTGTTGAAGCTCACCACCAGTCAAACCACCGAGAAGAGCTCCAATGAACCAGATACTAATAACAAAATCTTTCTCGAAGCAATTCAAATTGAATTCGTGTTTGATCATAGGAGCTATAGGTTTTGGCACCCCCATGTCGCAGCCAAAGGCAATACCTGCCAAAACAGCCACCATGGAGACAAACACATTCTGATTTCCCGATGTCAATGGCGTTAAGTTATCTGTTTGCTTTGGAATCGGTTTCCTCAAATTCTTTGGTGGTAAGCATTGGTATTCCTCGTTTGGAGCCTTCGTTATACATGTTTCTGTGGTTTTGTTCGAGTTGTTTAATAGTATCGCCGTATCCTCTTCGTCCGACATTGTACTTTTATGCGATAATTGCGTTCAACGGATTCGTATTAAACCATTTATTCCAAAAGACCTGTAAATTTGAGTAGCTTTATACATCGATAAATTTTACGATTCTTTTAAAGATCATTTCGGGCGTATAGTTTGGACACATACCTAAATGAAAATGCTATTGTTTTTGACACTACATACTAGAATTTCTATCGCAAGGTTATTTCGGACACTGCAAGAGTGTCCGAGTCTTCTTGTAGGAGGCAGGAGGTAACAATAATATTGACAAAAGACTGCAGTATTTTCGTACTTACGTGTTCAACTCGCACAGCGAATAGTCCAATCTGTGGCACGATACTTGCTGCTCGCTAAAATCACGGTAATTGTTGTTGTTCCTGTTCCTTTCATTCATTGACAACTCGTCGTTTCAGACTCGAGGAACACATAAATTGACAGTTCTCGCGAGCGTTCAGATTCTTAGCGCCATCTTGCAGATTAGTGGAAGCAGAAGAGCGCATGTGTGCGCAAAATCGAGGCACTGCCTTATTTCGCTCGCAGAATTTGTGGAGTTTGTTAGAGATTAGAGGATCCTGTCTGAACCTTCGATGACCAAGAATCAAAAATTTTGCATTACGAACAACAATGTTGGCATCTTATTGTTTTTTACATTGGCCTTCTGGATGAAAACGTACGAAGATGCTATACGCAAGAAATTGAAAAGGACGGGAAGCATGCCGATATTTGAACTGTAATGTGGTAGGAAACAGTGTTTAATTTGAAGTTACATTTTATTATCATAATTATATTCAACAGGTGGTCCATTTATTACGAAGCATATCTTTCCAACTTTGATACGAACCTTAAAAAATTAAAAAAATCTCAATGATTTAGTGTTGAAATATTACAATAGATTAGTGAGCGACAGCAGTGCTATTTATGGCAAAATCTGAAAGCTCCTTCAGTGGTCCGAACAACGCCGATTAGTAAATGGCAAAATGGTCAAACTGCTAGTCAAATCCAATTGTTGGTAATGTTGTTCACCAGTTTCAGCGTTTCGCCGCTGGTCCAATTGGCGCTGAACGAACACCTGACCGGAGCTTCGAGATTCTGCCGCAAGAGGCGCCATTAAATTAGTATCTCGATTGATGTAAAGCTTTGTTTTCATTTTGTTGAAATTTCGTGGATATATTAGATTTAAAAAGGAAAAGATATTATATACAAGTTGTTCATAACTTTATCGCAAAATTTGAAAAGTACGATATACACGGGACACGCTGAATCTCTTCGAACTTGAATTTTAGTACTCGTGCATTCGAACTTGAATCACAGCATTCGACTAGCCAAAACTAATCGGATCTAACTTGTGCAGTCAAATGCTCGGATCTGAGCTGGGTTTCTATCGGAACACTAGCACGATTCTGTTACCGGAACACGGCCGAAATTACGCTCTGGCAAACTGGCAAGTGCCGCGTCTTCCTGTATCTCGTCTGTCGTGTCGCAACTTATATGATACAAGAAAACGGTTTTCCATACTGTTTCCCACGAGATCCGCTAGAGCCCGTTGGCTGGGTCCTTTTCGCGTGACTCCGCCCTTGTAGTGCACCGCGCGCGCCGTAATTCTCAACACGGCGGAGGCGGAGCAGAGTTTAGTCGGGTATCGGGCTCGGGTCGTTCGGGTTATTCGTCGGGTTAGTCTCTGTCCTTTTTTCGTGGTTACGGTTTGGCACGTTCGGACGTCGCCGTGCCACAGCGGTCCATCAATGAATAATCGGATCGTTTCCCGCACACTGAGAACCACTGACGTCCCGTATAATTCATGCCAAGGCGGAGACGAGCGCTCCGTAGGTGTGTGATGTGGTTCAATTCGGATACTTCCTCGAACGTTGCTCGGGGATATTCGGGGATTGTACGCGGAATATCTGCCGGGAATAATGGTGGTAACGGCCCGTTGAAAGCACGGGCGACGCGAACACGATCGTAACGACGGGAGGTGGTGCCGGTGAACGAGCCAGTGTTGTTCGGTGATCAATGAACTCTGCGTTGCTGTATGTTTGGGGCGTGCTGCCACTGTTACCTATTAAGCCGGCAGACGTACGTATCCAAGAATGTATACACGTAAGTACCACGGATTGTCCCCTGTTGTATCGTAACGTCGTTCGCGTTCGCGATTCCCGTCGTTTTCGTCGAACGTTCACAGCCCCGCCTTGTTCGGCCCGATCTTGCTAACTCTCTCGCCACGGCCTTCTCGTACGTGTAACGTCGCGACGGTTCCTCGGTACGTCTCCAAGGTGTCATTTATTTCTCGGAAACGGCAACTCACGGTTTTATTTATTTTCTTGGTCGTTCGTCCGTATTAGAAAGTTCGGCAAGGCACAGCAGCAGAGGTAACGAGGCGGACGCGGTTAACGGTACACCGCCGTGTGTGTGCACCCGGGATCTTGAGATCGTTCATTGATCGACAAATCAACACTTTGAGCCGTTTCGACCGCAGCCAATCTCTCGATGTACCCTAACTAACGCTATTCGATCGGCAGTGTAATCGTGGTAATAGCGGTTCGACGCAGCATTGCGACGGCTATACGCGCTCGGTGGACCGTGAGGATCGGTATATGTATATAGAGCAACGTAACTTGCAACTGCAACATTACCGAACGATGTAAACAAATGCGTGCGATAATGCTCCCTTTTTCGTCCCTCCCGACGCGCTGCCCGCGATAAATTCGTTCGATTAATTGTCGTTTACGTAATCCTTGCCATTGACTTAGTTGCCGTATCCGACGGCTCCGTTTCTCCTCCGCTTGTTACACTCGGCGATTTTTTTCTTCGCGCGACGGAAGAAGAGCAATTCGCGTGCGATGTGTCGCGCGATACTGCGTAGATGCGTGTTAACGCGTTGATATCTTTCTCTTTTATTTCCGTTCAAGTTTTCCTTGGGAATTTTCGGTTACCGGAAAATCATTGCGCGTTTCAACGCGCAATTTCGGGGACTGGTTAAACGAATTTTTAAACAGCGAATTCTCCAGCGAGGATGCTGTACGAGGGCACCAGATTCAAGAGTAGTTAGATATTAAAATGAACGTGTCAAAGTGGGACACGGGGCGTTAATGAGATAATCTTTTTTTTTGAAGACTGTTCCTCGTGGCGGTTTCTCTTTCTCGCTGTGTCCGCGGACAATTTGAAAAATTTCACCTGTTAACCGGACGATTTGTCGATTACGATTGCAACGAGACAGATACGACGTAGCATAATTACGATGTAGTTTATGGTTCTATAGCCATTATGACGTAATTAAATACTTGGCTGGCCTGTTCGTATATTAAATGAAACATTTCAATTGTTAAATGTCACATTCCAATTAATTTTCGCATGTACTTCATGTTCTGTTGCAGATGACTACGTAATAGGAAATTCTACACAAAATTTTCACTAGGAAAATAACGATAAGCGGTCATTCTACGGTCGAAGTTAGATGACTAAAAATGAATGATATAGAAAGTATAAGCATGAAGGGCAGCGGAGGTTCCAAGATGCCTCATAGTCATTCGACTCCAGCCGGTGTGGATGGGGGTAGTAGAACTCCTCCTACGACACCCAGAAAGGCTGGAAAAATGCTTGCTGTTCGTGTACAAATGTTGGATGATACGATTACCATGTTTCAAGTTCAGGTAACACTTCTTACCCGTCGCATTTCGGTAGAGCATAGAATTATCAACGCTTTGTACTTCTGCGACCGTTTAAAATGTCCTTAAACCCTTGTTAATACCGAACAAGTGCCTTAATGCATCGGCTTAATGCTATAATGGCTAGTCGTTGACTGTACCCACACAACGGCATGTTTAATAGGCACAAATGAATACAACACATAGAGTTTTACTTTAAATTAATATACGAACAATACAGGATTTCTCGGACTATCAATGTTTACTATAATAGCTCTTGTATGTAATACCTCTTTTGTTGGAAGATTGAAGAAATGTCTGTGCCAGCTTTATCAAATTTGTCCGGTAGACATGGAATCATTCCAAACAGTGTATCAGGGTCATTTAGCTAATAGAGGTCAAGGGTCATTGTCCACAGAATCCTTTGAGTACTATTCACATTATTGCAAACCTTTTGAAATATATTTCAGCTGAATTCTGTAACCTCTTGGATCAACTAAAAATAATTGATTAACACGAACATTACAGAATTTATACAAATGCATTATTTGATGCATTGTTTAAATAATTATCATACGACGCGTCCGATTTGCCCGGCGAAGCCGTTTGCTGTGTAATATACATGAGTATAACACTTTTAAATGAACTATTGGAGCACATAATTGGTTCTACTATATTGCACAAGGTGCACATATTGACGTATTGATTATTCATAAGACTTTACTTACAGCATCTGAAACATATTCTCCCTAGCCTTATGCGGCACTTTAACACATAAATGAACGTACACGGAAAAAGATGCGATTAACGCGGATGAAACTCGTGAATAATTTCAGCGTTCCGTTACTTTCGTTCGTATCTATATGAATTTTTCCTTAATTTTAGGCAAAAGCGCTAGGCAGGGTATTGTTTGATCAAGTCTGCAAACAGTTGAATCTTCTGGAGGCTGACTATTTCGGACTCGAGTATCAAGAACCTAATGGGACTAAAGTAAGCCCTCAATCAACACGCAACAGGGCGATCCAATTTGTCTCGTGAAACTAATGAACACGTTTTAATTGCAGTACTGGTTGGATCTGGAGAAGCCCGTTTGCAGACAAGTTGGACTGTCGTTGATAGATCCTCTTTTGAAATTTTGCGTGAAATTTTATACACCGGACCCGGCGCAGCTGGAGGAGGAGTTCACGAGATATTTATTTTGCCTTCAAATCAAGCGAGACTTGGCCCAAGGTCTGCTACAATGCAACGACAACACGGCAGCCTTGATGGCCAGCTATATCGTTCAGGGTGAGCCGGACGCGACACTCGTTCATTGAGGAAGCAGCTCTTAATCGATCGTTTATATTTCAGCGGAATGCGGAGATTATGTAATAGAAGATTATCCGGATCACACTTACCTATCGACATACAAATTTGTACCTCACCAGGATCAAGAGCTGGAGCGTCGCATCATGGAGAACCACAAGAAACACGCGTAAGGATATAACACCGTTTAATTTCGTTCGGCTAGGGCGAGTCAGTTGCGGATCGAGTTCATTGAAACCTTGTATTGTTCGAATAGAGGCCAATCGCCGGCGGAGGCTGACCTGAATCTCTTGGAGACAGCGCGTCGTTGCGAGCTGTACGGAATGAAAATGCATCCGGCAAAGGTGAGTAATCGCCGGCTCTCCTAATCTTCAGCAATTTCAAACCTGCCTCGTCATCTTGTTCAAGGACCACGAGGGTGTGCCCCTGAATTTGGCGGTGGCGCACATGGGGATCGTGGTCTACCAGCACTTCTCGAAAATTAACACGTTCAGCTGGGCGAAGATCCGCAAGATCAGCTTCAAGAGGAAGCGGTTCTTAATCAAACTCCACCCTGAAGGATACGTAAGTGTATCATGGTCTCGCGAATGTTGCATCCAAAAATGTTGAACGAGACTCGATCGATCATTCTCGATTGCAGGGTTATTACAAAGACACGGTCGAGTTCTTCTTCGAGGGTCGCAACGAGTGCAAGAACTTCTGGAAGAAATGCGTGGAGAACCACGGGTTCTTCCGTTGTTCCGTGGTGAAGCGGGTCGTGCGGCAAAAGACACGAGTGCTCAGCCGTGGTTCCTCGTTTAGGTACAATTCCTTGTAACGTCCACTGTCTAGGACCGATCGATCAACACTAGAACTACTGTACATGACACTCCCCAAGTCAATTGTCTCGGTGCTTCTAGCGTTGGATCATGGTAGCCGAGTTGTATGGATTGAATGGACGATTTTCATTTTGATCACCAGGTATAGCGGCAAAACCCAGAAGCAGATCGTCGAGTTCGTGCGCGACAATTACGTGAAGAGGCAAACGTTTCAGAGGTGAGTAGCAGCGGCGCACGATGGGATATGCAGCGTGTCGACACGAGGACCGAACGAGCCTCTTGGGCATATCATACCATAGTAATGCGTAGAGCGTTAGTGCATGCGTACCGTTAATGTACTGTCCCCTCCCCCCCTTTTATAACGCTGGTGTTCATATCTCGTTCGGATACGTGTACACGTAGCATCTTTTTCTCTGGTTCAACGAGCGCAGCACACCGAGAATCCTCTTTACGTGGTTAAGACGGGAGGTGGCACGGTCTTGCTTTAGCCGGGACATTGGTATTTTTTATTTCGTCGTTGCTCCAACGTATTTCCGTAGTGTCAAGCGTGTCTTTATTTTTTCACTTTCACTCTGTCTCTCTCCCTCTCTCATTCTCTTCATCTCTCTCTTTCTCTCTCTCTCTCANCAAACCTGCCTCGTCATCTTGTTCAAGGACCACGAGGGTGTGCCCCTGAATTTGGCGGTGGCGCACATGGGGATCGTGGTCTACCAGCACTTCTCGAAAATTAACACGTTCAGCTGGGCGAAGATCCGCAAGATCAGCTTCAAGAGGAAGCGGTTCTTAATCAAACTCCACCCTGAAGGATACGTAAGTGTATCATGGTCTCGCGAATGTTGCATCCAAAAATGTTGAACGAGACTCGATCGATCATTCTCGATTGCAGGGTTATTACAAAGACACGGTCGAGTTCTTCTTCGAGGGTCGCAACGAGTGCAAGAACTTCTGGAAGAAATGCGTGGAGAACCACGGGTTCTTCCGTTGTTCCGTGGTGAAGCGGGTCGTGCGGCAAAAGACACGAGTGCTCAGCCGTGGTTCCTCGTTTAGGTACAATTCCTTGTAACGTCCACTGTCTAGGACCGATCGATCAACACTAGAACTACTGTACATGACACTCCCCAAGTCAATTGTCTCGGTGCTTCTAGCGTTGGATCATGGTAGCCGAGTTGTATGGATTGAATGGACGATTTTCATTTTGATCACCAGGTATAGCGGCAAAACCCAGAAGCAGATCGTCGAGTTCGTGCGCGACAATTACGTGAAGAGGCAAACGTTTCAGAGGTGAGTAGCAGCGGCGCACGATGGGATATGCAGCGTGTCGACACGAGGACCGAACGAGCCTCTTGGGCATATCATACCATAGTAATGCGTAGAGCGTTAGTGCATGCGTACCGTTAATGTACTGTCCCCTCCCCCCCTTTTATAACGCTGGTGTTCATATCTCGTTCGGATACGTGTACACGTAGCATCTTTTTCTCTGGTTCAACGAGCGCAGCACACCGAGAATCCTCTTTACGTGGTTAAGACGGGAGGTGGCACGGTCTTGCTTTAGCCGGGACATTGGTATTTTTTATTTCGTCGTTGCTCCAACGTATTTCCGTAGTGTCAAGCGTGTCTTTATTTTTTCACTTTCACTCTGTCTCTCTCCCTCTCTCATTCTCTTCATCTCTCTCTTTCTCTCTCTCTCTCACTCTCTCTCTCTCTCTCTCTCTCTCTCTCTCTGTTTCTCTCTTTGTCTCTCTGTACGTACTAGTTCTTCTTGTACTTGACCGTTTGTCAGTGTTGCCTGCTCGGACAGGGGTGGCGGGGAGTCAGGCTCACCATCAGGCACGATAACCCGAATGATCAATGTGTTACCCTCTTTCTCGATAGCGTGATCACTAATTCTCGTCATTGTTATAATCACACAGACCACACACGTACACACGCATCAACACGCGTACATACCTACCCTCTAACGATACGCATACATACATATCGACATACGCACACTGCGAACTATCATGTTTCACTGTACCCGGCAGCTGTATTTTGTTTCTTTTCTGTTCGTTTTTTTCTCTCACCAACAAACGATATATAAATATATTATAGTATATACATATATATTGAATACTCGCGTATGCACATACGTATACATATATGTATACGCATGTATAAAATATATGATATATACATATATAGCGGTAGACTGTTCTCCACGATAGCGACTAGAACGATTACTCTTTCCTCACGACGATCTCGTCCTTGTACATAATACAGTTGACGGACTCGCGCGAGAAAGTATTTGTACGCTCAGGTACAAAATCTCTTAAAGATAGATAGCCATAGTTATTCTATTCCTGAAAAGTCTATCGATGCGCCTCTGGTAGCTAGAGCGTTAGTCTTTTATACACCCGTTTTAATTGTTTCTTTTTTTTTATTGTTTAAACGAAGATCGGTGCAAGGTATCCTTCTTCTTTTATTTTCCTGAAAAATCTAATTCGAACCTGAATCTATCTTATGCGTTTCCCGGTAGAGCGATTGCGAGAATATCGAACGTACAAATGCTATTCGACCCGCTGCGACAATCGCGCGCGCGCGCGCGCACGAAAAACCTGCTCTCGAAGCGGAACGCGTTGATGAAGCCGCGGCTAACGGTGCGTTATCTCAAAGGAACCGTGTCCGTTGTGCGAAAGACGACGTTTGATTATCCGTGAGCCGCATACGATCTACATTTTTATCGTTTTGAGGGCGGGGATCGATCCGCGGAGTAGCATCGACACTTTTCCTCCTTCTTTTTCGCTGTTCTTGTACCGCGGACACTTCGCGGAGATTCGAAGACACATGGGGGACATGCCGCGAACACGTCGAGCGATAGCGAGATACCCGAACCCCTCGCCCTTCTGTCGACTCGAAATTTCAAACCGGAAGCTCGAACCGCGTATACGAAGGTAGAAGTTCCATCTCGGAAGTATTCTCCAACGGCGACAATTCGGTTCGCAAAACCGGGAGGAGAATTCGCGTTCGCGTGTGCTTTTCTTTTATCGTCGGTGGAATCGTTAGCGACGAGAGGCAGCTTTGAAAGAGAATCTCGCAGGGCAAGGGGTTCCGAGAGAGCGAACCCTTGAAACGATATAACGGCGTTGCCACGATGATCGATCCACGCTACCATCTTGAGCGAGCGCGCGCACGCGGGGGGGATGGTGCTAGATCGGCGGAGACGATGATTAGATAAGGAACAACAGACACGAAACAAAAATGACATAAGAAAAGGGAAAAAAAGGGAACAGGAAATATATAAAGAAAACGAAAACAAAATACAGAGAATCACGTATAAGTTAGTGTTCTGGACAGGCTTGGCAATTTGGTAGCCTAAGTCTGATGCTGAACTTGACTCTCTCTTGCTCGCAGGTCCAATTCGTTCCGGCAGACTAGCGGTGGTAGGGCATTGCAGGGCTTGGAGGGGGGAGGCTATCGTGGGGCCACTCCAAGCAGCTCCCTTATGGGCAGCTCCAGCATCTCTGCCCACCCCCTCCTGCCCCTCGGCGATCCTGGTATGTACACCATGACCGACACCAATCTCCACGAGAGACAATAAGAACAATACTAAGAAAAAGACGGAAAACAAAAGAGGAAACTACGAAGAAACGCTTTCTTTTTTTTGTTCACATCCGAGTTGTTTCCTCCGCCTCTCTCTTTCTCTCTCTCTCTCTCTCTCTCTCTCTCTCTCTCTCTCTCTCTCTCTCTCTTTCTGTCTCTCTCTTTCTCCCCTCGAGGAGAGTACACTGTCGGGTCAAAGCGGTTTTGCAACAAAACCAGGCGTAGGCCACACCCACTTTGCTCTGAGAGTACTCTAGACTGTTCTCGAGTGGGCGTGGCTTCGTTGCCCCGGGGGACAGTCTCCGCCCATACCTGTTCTTCTCAATTTGTATAGTTTGCGAAATGTTTGACCAATTTGCAGTCTCCAGTTTTATCTTCTTTGAGAGCATCTTTCCTGTTTTGAGATTAAAAGTTAAAAAATGAATGCTTTTCGTTTTCAAATTGCAAATATTTCACCGATTTTCGACTTACACACATACACTAAAAGATTGCCTACAGTGTACTCTAGCCATCGGTTTCTGTCTATTGGTTACTATCATTCTCTCTCTCTCTCTCTCTCTCTCTCTCTCTCTCTCTCTCGTTTATCCCGCGTCTCCAATGTTCTGACAATCCCATTCTCTCCTCGCTATCTTCTTCTCTCTCCCCCCCTCTCTCTGTCTCTCTTCCTCTCTCTCTCTCTCTCTCTCTCTCTCTCTCTCTTGCTCTTTAGCGTTTTATATTTTCTTTCTTTCCCACGTATCGTACACAAAGCAGCAGTATTATATATATATATACATATTGTAAGCGTAGTGAGTAGCTTAGAGCGTAACACGAACTTAGAAAACGCTTGTTCGAAACGATCGATTGACCCTCCGAAGGCGGCTGCTTTTTAAAGACTTCGTCGTGGGCGGCAATGCCGTTGTCGGTAGCATTGTTCTCCGACGAATTTGTCGCTTTAACTCTTTCAGTGCCAACGGGCCGATATATCGGCTTTCGGTACTTAAGCGAAAAATGCCAAGTGACGCAAACGTTCAATTGCGGCATTCTTTGCGTGTAAAGCGCGGATTGGATTTGGCACCGAAAGGGTTAAGACAGTTTTTGTACCCAGACGTCGTCGCTGGTGGAGGGTTGCTCGGACACCGTTTCTCTTCCCCTTCTTCTCTCTTCTTTTCGAATCCACGAAGTTTTTGCCATGTTGCTTCAAATGAAGAGACGAGCCACCGTCCAATTGTTGTAGGCTGTGATCCTAGGTAAACAGGGTGTTCCAAAACTGTCCGAACTCATTCTGAAGACACCTTTTATTTCACTAAAATGTCCTCCGTGGTTTCGTCGACGAGTTACTGACGAAAAACACCGAACAATCGGCGAGCAATTATGACCTATGAATTTTGGTGCGCTGACGAGTTCGACCTTCGATTGATCCGTGTTTTTCGTTAATAAATCGTTATCCAGACTGCGGAGCGTAGTGTGTTCAAATGATCTCAGGAATTACTCGTTTCAATTCAATCGAACATTTTAATTGGACGGCCTGTACTTTCTCGGACTACACCTCGGTCAGTCGAGAACGAAGGGAGAAATAGAGAAAGAGAGAGAGAGAGAGAGAGAGAGAGAGAGAGAGAGCTAGCGAGAGAGAACGAAACGAGAAAGAATAGGAGAAGAGTGAAAGCCGAAGGGAACGGCGACGAGATCGAGATGATAATTGGTATCGGTTTTCAGCCCTGGAAACCCCAGCTCTGTCTCTGTCATGCGGCTCGATGACACTGGATTCTCCGACGACTGTGACGAGTGTCTCGATGGGAGGGACGATTCACCGTCGCGACGACACAGCTACATCGTTTCGGACGCTTACGTCCATCGACGTCCATTCGCCGGCCACACCCAGCCAGGCACCAGCGCCTCGTCAGCAAACGATGCTTGTTACCAGCCAACAGCGGATCTCATCAGCAGGTCGTATCAGCCCCTCTAACAGCAGTCCCCCTGAATTCCCACCGCCGCGACCCCAGCCCCGACATCCCTGGCAGCGATCGGCGAGCTGCCGCGAGCTGTACGCGTCCAGTTTCGAGGATTCAGGTAGAGCGCGTACGAGGGAGGACGAGAAACCGTCCGCGGACGACTCGGTCCCGTTGCTAGAACCGTTCCGGTTGCCGTCGCAGGGCGAGCTGGACAATCCGGTGACTAGGTACGACGAGAGCAATCGGTCGTACAGCGCCGCCAGCTCGAAACTGCCTTCGCTGGACCACGACTCGGTACCGGACCGCGTCTACAGCAGTTCCTATCCGGGTACCTCGTCGCTGTCCACCGAATCCGGCCACGAGGAGTCCGGCCCCGCGGGAGATTTGTCACACGACGATCTGTCCCACGATTCGTACGAGCTTCTGGAACGCGAGCACGAGTTTGAGTACCCCGAGTCCTACTCCAGCCCTCGGGACGACGAGGACGAGGAGGAGGAGGAGGAGGAGGAGAACGAGAATGCTCGTCCGGGCCGGGACGGGACCGACGAGATCGAGATCGAGCCAGAGCCGATCTCCGATCGGAGCGACGAGGGGATCGAGCGCGAGATGTTCCAAATGGACACCGAGACCGATTCCTTCGTCAAGCACCGGTCGGTCAGGTCCTCGGACAAGCAACACTTCAAATCCGTGCTCGCCGACCTGAAGAACCAGACTCGAACCAAGTCCATCGATCGGTACACACCGGCGGTCGCGAAACTCGACACCGAATTGATCGCCGTCGAGTCGCGGATCCAGCGATCCAGCACCCAGATCGAACGGAAGTTCGAGATGCGTCACGCGAATTCCGTCGACCAACAACAACAACAACAAACGGTCGTTCAGCTGCAACCGCAGCCTGCCCAACCGACGCCGCAGCAACAGCAACAAGCGCTTCTCGCGAAGCTGTTGCCGTTGCCGCACCAAGATTCCGCGCGGAAAGACCCGATCGTCTCGCAGATACAAAAGCAAAAGATGTCCGTGCTCAACGAGCTAAAGAGCCTCAGGCCGAAGTACCAGCGTATCACTCACGTCGACTCGGAGATATTAAGGGACGAGGGTATCATGCGGCCGAAATCGCGGATCGACGACGACGAAGTCAGCCCGGTCGAAACGAGCGGTAGAGCGAACGCGTCGGACCGTCGGCCGAGAACGGTGCGGGCCCGTAGTATCGCGAGCTTAGAGGATCACGCGGCGTCTTGCGTCCACGTGGACACCGGTAGCCTAGGTAGGGAGCTGAGGAGTAGTCGCGACAGGAAGTTTAGGGAGTCCTCGATCGAGGCTAGGCTGGACGCTACTTTGTCCAGGTTGCAGGAGAAGGATCGCAGGGACCGGGAGGACCGGAAACGGGTGGAGAGGGAGTACTCCAGGGATTACGGGAAAAGGGGGGAGAAGCTTGGAACGGGGGACGCGCGGGAGAGACGGTCGATCGAGCGACTGGACTCGCGGGAGGCTCGCAAAGACCATCATTGTCGCCGATCGGATCGCGGCGCGGATCGGGTCGATCCTCGGGAGCTTCGCAGAAGCATCGAGAGGCTGGACTCGCGAGAGAGGAGCTACGAGCGGCTGGACTCGAAGGAGAAGAGCTCGCGGCACGAGCCTAACGAGACGCGCCGCAAGAGCTACGAGCGGCTGGACTCGCAGGGTCTGCGTGGCAGCTCGGAGTACTTGAACAGAAGCCCGAAGGAGCGGAGCAATCATCGGCACGCGGACCGCCGCGAGAGGAGCACGGACCGGTTGGATTCGAGGGAGAAGCGGGCTCTGATCGGCAGGAGCAACACGGTGGACTACAACCAGAGGCACACGTGGGAGCGATTCGAGCCCGGGCACAGGAGCAGCCCCGCAGAAAGGTCCTACGGCAGGGAGCAGCGCGGCCGGAGCGTCGAGAGGCTCGACTCGCAGGAGAGGCCGAGCTTCGACTTCGTTCCGGTGACGATGGAGCGGTTCGAGCCGTACGGAAGCCACGACCGACCTCCGAGGGACCGGAAGAGCCTCGAGAAGCTGGAGTCGCGGGAGCGCAGACACGCGGACAGGATCGAGCAGTGGGAGAGAGGCAGACACGCGGAGAGCGCGAGGTCTGGCAGAAGCCTCGAGTGTCTCGAGCACGAGGTGTACGAGTGGCGGCGTGGCAGCGTCGAGAAGATCGAGCACAAAGAGGCGAGAAAGAGCAAGTCGGCCGGGACCAGGTTCGAGAGGGGCAAGTCGGAGGAGAAGCCGAGGGAGAGGGACGACTGGAGGAGCCTGGAGAAAGCGAGGAAGGACGACGAGAAGCGGGAGAGGGAGCGGCAGGCGAGGCTGTCGCTGGAGTCCAGGACGGACACGGTGATCGGTGTGCCGATGGAGATGGAGAACCTGAAGCCGAAGGCCGTGTTCTCCGAGTACGAGCCGAAGATCGTCGGCGGCGTGGTCCTGGGATTCGACGACACGATCCCCGGCCACACGCCCGTCGAGCGTACCAAAAGCGACCCGAACCCGGCGAGGCAGAGACTGGGCTCGAACAGCAAGCGGCATATCCTGATGCATCAGAAGTCGATCGACCTGACCCCGGCCGACTCGGGCGACGAGGACCCGTTCTCGGACAGCGCGGCGATGCAGAAGGCCAACCAGGAGATACCGTACACGCTGCACAAGCGGCACGTGATGAACGGCACCGCCTCCGACGAGAAGTCCGAGTCCGACAGCGGCAAGACCTCGAAGAAGCCCACGGTGACCAAGGACCTGCCCAAGCTGCCGCTCAAGATGATCGCGGACATCACCTGCTTCGACCTGTCGAAGCTCTCCCCGGTGGAGAAGTCGGCCGCCAAGACGTTGCCGGAGAAACCGAAGGTAACCACGCCCACCAGGCCGAAGTCGATCCTCATCAGCCCGTCCGACAAGCCGAAGAGCATTCTCAGCCCGACGTCGAAGCTGTCGCCGACAGACGCGAAGACCATGGTCTGCAGTTTGTCGCCGACCTCGAGGAGTCCGTCGAAAGCAGGGTCGAAGGCGCCCTCGCCGGATAAACAGTCGCCGAGGTCGGCCTCGTTCGACAGAGGGCGGACCGAGATCGTGATCGAGGACCGGGTCTGCAAGTCGTCCAGCCTCGACAAGCGACCCTCGCCGTCGAAACTGTCGCCGATCGAGCCGAACGTGACCATCGTCTCGGCGATCAAGAAGCGCTCGCCCAAGGTGTCGCCCACCGATCCGGACAAGACGATCGTGTCCGTGATCCAGAAGAAGCGGTCGCCGGACGGCGCCAAGACCACCCTGGCCGGCCAGAGATCTCTGGACTCGAGGTCGAAGCCGCTGAACCTGGCGGACGTGGTCGGCCTCGAGATGAAGATGAAGCTGGAGCGTAAGGCTAAGTCTGAGATCGAGAAGGACAGCCTGAAGACGCCGGACCTCAGTCTCGAGAAGCAGGACAGCATCGAGAAGATCCCTCTGCCGGAGATCCCGTTGCCACCGGTGATCGACAACGAGGTGGCGCCCTTCGAAGCTGTTCCAGCGCCGGTCGTCGAGGACTCTTCGACCAAGCGTCCAGAGGACACCAAGGTCCCGCAGGAGAAACCGGTTCCTCCGCCGGTTCCGACCACGCCGCCGATCATCTCCGAGAAGCCGAAGGTACCTGAGAAGCCGAAGAGTCTCGAGAAGCTCAGCATCCCGGAGAAGACCAAGCGTATTCTGGAGAAGATCGAGTCGAAGAGGACGAGGACCGCTCGACCGAAGATCATCGACACCGGTTTCGACGATTTCGTCGACCCAGTCGCTGATCTACCGTTGGACGAGGTTCCCGTGAAACCGGCGCTGGAGCTGGACAGCCTGAAGGTGCCAGAGTTCGTCCCGTTCGCCTCGAGACCTCACGGCGAGCCTTTGCGCTCCAAGTCTTTGTCGCTTGCCGAGGAGAAGGCGCCGATCGACACGCTGCTTTCGCCGGAGGTTGAGAACAAGCACTTCGTGCCGGACGTGTCGCCGAAGCGGGCCAGGCGTGTCAAGTCGGAGCCGAAGAAGGACTTCAAGAAGCAGTCGAAGTCGTTGGAGGGCGACAAGCCGCCGCTGAAGAAGTCCGCGTCGAAGGAGTCGCGCGCGCCGACCGCCAGCACCTCCAAGATCGACAAGTCGAAGCTGAAGCTGGGCGAGATGCCGCAGGAGATCATCATCATCGACTCGACGGACCACCCGACGGTGCCCGAGGTCAGTATCGTGCAGAAGGCCAGGTCGAAGTCCGTCACCAGGTTGACGGAGAAGGCGCACTCGGCCTCCAAAGAAGAGAAGGACGAGGTGCCGAAGAGCGGCCGAGCCAAGTCGGCTTCGGTGGACGACGATCTTATCAAGGTGGTCGCGAAGATGGAGAAGGCTCGGCCGAAGTCGCTGGGGATCTCGAAGTCACTGGGGAGCACCGAGAAGAAGGACTCGACGGAAAAGATATCCCCGAAGAGAACAGTCGCCGCGAAGGCCGCCTCGAAGTCCGCGGACGTGAAATCGCCGTCTTCGAGGGAGCTGCCGAAGCTTCCACGGCCCAAGGCCGACTCTGAAGAGCGGCAGGTGTCACCCTCGGAGACTGTGCGAGCGATTGCTCGCGAACCCGAGCCGAAGCAGGAGCCCGAAGATTTGCCGCAACAACAACAACAGCAACAACAACAGGTGGACGCTGGGAAATCCGTGGAGCCGAGCAAGGAGGTGAAAGAAGTGAAGGAGATAAAGGAAATGAAAGAGGTGAAGAAAAGCGTCGTTCCTCAGGATCTAACTCAGTCGCCGGTGGTTCTGCGGAGACCGGGTCAAACTCCGGTTCTCTTTGCACGCGCTCGCTTGGGTCTCTCGGAGGGTAGCGGGATCGGCGCGCTGCAGAGGCAAGGTGCGACCCAGTCGCCGACTTCCCAGAGGAGGGCGAAGTCCTTGGACGCCGCGGTGATCGCCGTGCACCGTCTACCGCCGGCGAACGCGTTCTCCAGCAAGGACGACACCGTGGAGGAGGACAAGGAGGAGCAGCCGGAGACCCAGGAGATCAAGGCGCGGCCGACGGAGGCGGTTCTCGTGGTCAGTTCGAAGCCGGCTTCGCTTCAGGTGGAGGCGTCGCCGAACCACAGATCCGACAGCACCGATCACACCACCATCCCGGAGATTTTCACGGACTCTTTGTCCGTCACGGAGACGTCCGCTCAGTACTTGGAGTCGCCGCTCACCGAGTGCAACGAGATCGTCGCGACGGTCGACCTGATCCCGTACGAGAGGGACGTGGCGCACGCGGTGGAACAGGATAAGGAGGACGAAGAAGCGCCGGCGATCAGGCTGGAGACCGTGAAAGTGGACGATGGGACCAGGTTCATCGATCAGAGCTCTGTCGAGTCTGGTGCCGAGCTGGAGGCCGCGCCGGATGCCGTCGCGCAGCCGCAGAAACTCGACGACGACGCGAAGACCTTGGAGACCTCGGCCGAGGCTGTCTGCGTCGTTGTCGCGACCGTCGCAGTCGAGAAAGAAGCGGAACCGGTCGAGGAACACGTCCCGGAGACCGTTCGCGAGGAGGCTAGGCCGGAAAGAGAAGAACTGCCGGACGTGACGGTGACGGTGAGCGCGGCAAGGGACGACGGAGAGACGCGCGAATACACTGGCAGACCGTTGGACCTCGACGACGGCCAGGACATGGTGAAATCCCCGATTCAGATCTCCATCGAGGAGTGCTCGGACGACGAGGGGGGCCGCAGCGAGGAGCAGGACGACGATTATCGAGAGTTGGAGGATCAGGAGGGCGACGACAACCGTCCATTGGACTCGGGCGACACCAGCGAGGACACTCTGGACGCTCTGGACACGCAGATGCGCACCAGAGGCATGGACAGCGAGCCCAGCTCGCCGGACTACGGCGTCGATAGGATGGACGAGAAGACTCTGGTCGAGGTGGAGTTGACGCCCGAGTATCTCGAGGCGAGACGAGGAGAGGACGAGGAGGTTCCCGCGGAGGAGCTGCCGGAGGACGAGCCGGTGGAGCATCGGCAGCCGACGATCGATCGGTTGTCGATCGACAAGAAGTTGAGGCTGAGCAGCGAGCGGTCGAGGAGCGAGGAGACCAACACCTGGACGCCGGACCGGGAGGATCCAGAGTCGAGCTCTTGCTCGATCGCTAGGCCTCTGGGGATCGGGCAGATCCAGCCGATCGTCGATCGCAGGGAGCTGGCCGCTATGAGAGAAGCCCGCAGCGCCGGGTCCCAGGAGGAGGAGAACGGCAGCGTGCAGGGTCCGAGGCCGGAAATGAGTTCCACCTGGAAGTCATTCCCGTTGGAGAGCTCCGGGAGCTCGAGCATAGAAGAGGGCTGGGCGCCGCAGGACGAGAACAACGCCGTTCAGTCGCAGTCCGAGGACAGCAACGGACAGAACGAGGACAGCTTCCAGGAGGACCTGGCGGACTTCCCGGGCACCTTCGTCTACCCGATCGGGCCGGACATTTTGACCAGTTGCGGCACGTTCGCGTTGACCCGCACGCTCTCGAGGATATCGGAGAGGTCGACCACGTCGGAGCAGGACAAGAGCGACCTGGAGGACTCGTTCAAACCCAGCTCCAGGTCGCCGAGCTTGGACGACGAGTCCCTGATGTCCAGCGACCATCAACCGTCCCTCTCCTCCGACCCGCCGTCGGGAACCGCACTGCCGTCCGTCTCGGACGACCGTCGCACCTCGTCGGAGCTGCCCGACATCCCCATCGACGTGCCCGGCGGGAACGGGCAGGAGGAAGACCTCAGGTCGCCCAAGTCCGCCGGCAGGTCGAAGCTGCAGACCCAGAGTTCCGAGGACTGGCCATCCCCGCCGAGTTCGCCGGTGTTCGAGCCGCCGGTGGTCAGCCACGTGGAGACCTTCTACATGGAGATCAAGCCGGAGGAGGCGGTCAAGGTCACCGTGACGGACAGCACCGACACGCCGGGCCGCGTCGACCGCGACAGCGACTCCAGCGACGAGAACCGCACCCTCCACGACGACCTGCACTCGACGTTCCTGGAGGACGGGCAGAGCTCCACCTCCGGGACCACCGTGGACGGCACCGTGAAGGTCGTGGTGAAGCCGAAGTCGAACTCGTACATCACCGGCTCCTCCCACAGCGAGGACACTTCCATGGGGCTGTCGATGTCCGAGTGGTCCAGCTCGAACAACACCGTCCGCCAGTATTGCCAGTACTCCGGCGGCACCAAGTCCGACGACAATTCCCTGGCGGAGCTGGGCGCCTCGATCTCCGACTGGTCCGGCAGCACCACCGTGGTCCAGCAGCAGTACTACTCGTCGGCGATCATCGTCGAGAAGAGCCAGAGCGACACCACCACCTCGGACAAGAGCGTGACCAGCATGCGACCGAACTCCAAGTGCCGAACGGTCGACAGCCCGCCGACCGCGCCGTCTTCGCCGCCTCTGCCACCGCCGCCGCCCCCGGATTCGCCACCCCTCACCCCACCACCCGGCATCGTACCCGGGCTACTGTTCGGCGAGGACGTCGTGTCGCCGTGCGACGAACGGCGCGCCTCGGACCGGATCACGAGAGACGAGCAGCTGGACGAGGCCAGACGGTTCATCGAGAGCCAGTTCGACGAGCAACGACGCCTGGCGTCCCGTCGCTTCGACGAGGATCAACAGCCACCGGGAAGCGGCGCCAGGGGCTCCTACGTCGACATCTCGCCGCCCAGGATCACCCTGAGGAACGAGTTCGACGAGACGGTGGACGAGGACTTCCGCGCGGTCTTGTCCGACGACGGGGACGCGCCTCCTCTGCCTATCCTCGAGGAGGAGGAGGAGCTGGACGACGAGGACCGGCTCTACGACAACGTGCCCGCGATGAAGTACTCCAGCGGCGACCAAGTGCGCATGGAGGTGGGCAGGGGGGACAGCTCGGAGGACATGCACGAGAAGTACGCGAACCTCGCGGCCTTAGGCTCGCGGAGCCCGAGGGACGACGAGTGGTCGTTCGAGGAGGAGCGCAGGGACCAGCCGGCCCCGCCGCCGCCGCCGCCGCCGCAGCTGTCTCGCAAGGAGAAGACCGTCCATCACGGCTCGGCCTCCAAGTTCGAGAGAGGATTCTCCGAGCCGGCCGAGATGACCAGGTACCACGAGACCAGGTCCACCGAGAGGCCGGTGGTGGTGCCGATCAGGGCGAAGTCGACGCCGTATTACTCGACCACGAGCCTGAGCGGCGAGTCGACCACTTCCAGCCCGCCGATGCCGATCCGAACGCAGATCCGCACCAAGACGATGCCTTTCCCGTCGAGCAGGAGCCCCCAGAGCGAGGGCGACACCTCCTCGAGCATGGACAGCCCCGTGCACACGCCGATCCGCGGCCAGATCACTGTCCGCCGGCGCAGGCGCGAGAACCTGAAGAGGCGGCACCGCGTGGTGGTCGACCTCGAGGTCAAGGACGGCCAGATCGTGTCGAGCACCGACTCGAGCTTCGACGTGGCCAGCCACGACGTCGACGACGACGAGGAGGAGGTCGAGGAGGAGGAGGACGAGTACCTGGAGACGCAGGACGAGCGGGAGGCCCGCCGTCAGCAGCGTTGACCGCTCGACCGGGCAGCTTCTTCATGGCCGGGTCCCTCGATATGGTGACACATGGCTCTCCTGGTTATAATACTCGCTTCCGGTTCCTCGCACTCCGTTTCCCGCGTCGGCGCGCGCTCCGCTCGACTCCGCTTGACGCCGGGCTCGGCCGGAACGCGGTTCGCTCAAGCGAAATTTCTCTTCTGTGGGGCATTTCGTACACGCGTAGTAGACACACGCGCGCATACACACACATAGAAACATAATACACATAACACACACGCGCACACGTATACATATACATATACACACAACTTCCGATCCTCGGAATTGAGCGTAGTCTTCACACTCCTTGCATCGGTGGACCGGGTCCCCCCGTCGCCCGTAACGGGGAGGGGGGCCCGTGAAACGGTGAACGATCTAGTCTAACGTATCTCCCGTTAAGAGTATATAATTATCTACGGTTTGTTACGCGTTTTAGAAACTCGATTTACTTTGATATCGTCGTTGACCGCGTGTAGGAGGTGGTAAATAACGTAAAAAAGAAAAAAGAAGAAAAACTTATAAACGAGAGCCGATGATACGAATCGAACGATGCTACACCACACCTATTAACGATAGTTAGTATGTAATGGATGCGACGAACGGTCGAAGACCGGGACAAAAAACACAGGACGCCGTATAAAATACGCGCCGGCATTCAACGATTGCGAATCGTGCCGGGATTACTGAGAATTAATATATAGGTGACGGGGGCGGGGGTTACCTCGGGGTGGGGTTGGGGGTGCTTTTCATCGTCGGGTGGACGATATTGCGAGATGAAATTGGGATAAACGAGTTGAACGCGCGACGCTGTTCGAGTTTTACGAGAACGACAATCAATTGGTCGGATGTAAGAGAGAGCATCGTCGGGAGTGGGCCCGTTCGGAGGCATGTCTTAAATTGCCTCGTTTCCGTTCGAGAATCGTATCTTCGACGGCCGGTCTTATACAATACGGTCGTAGTTATTTAGGTTCGTGTCTCTCTCGTTTCTAGGAACGAATGGACAAGTTGCTCAACGTAGATATCGTCGACGGGATAAAACGATTCTCGCGTGTACACCCACGCCGTCGTGTCCGCCTCTCTTGGCTCTCGCTTCGCTTCGTTTCGTTAACGTTACGTTTACGTTGCGTTACGTTTCGTCACGTCTCGTCGCGTCTCGTCCCCTGTCGGCGAGAGACGATCTCGACGGGCAAACATCGAACGGATCGACGAAAACGGTTGCTGCGACCAACGATCCCCCGGGGCCCGGCGAGCTTCTCTCGGGCCTCACTCGGCTAGCGTTTCGCTCGGTTCGGTTCCACGATTACTCGGATCGTTTCGTTTTTCGGTTTCGCCGTTTTGCCGGCCAGTGCGCGGACCAGCGAGTCGGTTATTTTTTCCAACGAAAGCGGGACCGTGCACGAGGTCCCCGCGACAATTCGCTTTTCGCGCGTCCTCGGGGGTAGGAAAGTAGACACATATCAACGACGTCCGCGACTGATCGGAGAAACACTAGGTCGGCCCACGGGTTCGTCTGGATTTATTTGGTACATCCGCTTCTTTGCAGCTTTGTTCGCAATCGATCCAGCAAGACTGCACTTTCTCGCCTCGCATCTTTCAAGCGAAAATTTTCATTACTTTACTACCGTCTTTTGTTATTGTATATATTATTATATGTATTATATTTATATTATTATATATATTATATTTATATTATATATTATAAATATATATTTATATCTATATCATATTTATATTATGTATTATAGATATATTTATATTATATATTATAAATATATATATTTATATTACATATTATTATTATAGATTTATAATATATATATTATATTATATTTTATATTATTATCATATATATTATTACTTTAATTCGGTAGTAATATACATATAATATATTATATACAATATATATAATATATATATATATATAATAATTATTATTATTATTATTATTTTAATGCGTATACAATTAACAATTTCTCGCTGTTCTCCGCGAACGTCCGTTCTTCGTACCAGAAAACCAGTCGCGGTTACAGAGCACGTCGAGAAGGGCGAGAACGGATTGGAACTTCTGGGCTGACCTAATATTTCAGCAAAGGGGTTGCTCGGAAACTCGCTGGCCCGTGTCGCGGCCGAAACGCGAAGCTGCGTTCTCGCAGCAGCCGCGCGGCTGTGGAGAGGATCGTTGAGTCGCAGGCGCGTCTAGTCCCGTCCAGCAAACGAGCGCTTTTCGCCACAGGAGCGCACCGGAGCGGAAGGATCGCTATACAGGTGCGGGTGCGGACAAAAAGAGCAAAGGGGGAATAAATAGATAGCCATTAGAGGGTCGGGGTTAAACGGTTGACGTTGCTCGTCGGGCGTGAGGACGCGGGTTAAAAATAGGAGCCGCCGCTCGGGAAAATTGCGGCGCCGAGGCACTGCACGCGCGCGCGAAAGAGAGTGGGATAGGGAGGGAGGCAGGGGGAGAGACGGGGGAAGAGGGCGAGGCGATTCGAATGATTTGTTTGTCACGCAGTCTAGGGCGAGTGCGGGTATTGCTGCGGGCGTTCCAAATACTGCGGTATTTTATCGAAGTAATGAAATCGAATATTGTACAATGTGTAATGCTCTAGAAATGAATCTAATATAATTTTGTTGTATGTTTAATATTCATAATTCATGGCATACCGGTAACAGCAATCGCAGTTTTAACTCTTCGCACCATTTGCACGAATGTTGTATCACGTTCGAAAATGATTTTAATATTATCAGAGTTTAAATTGAGAAAATTGTTAATCGTGTAACTGTTGCGCGAGTCGCAAGATTAAATGTCACATGCATAAAATGCACTTTGTCGCATAAAATAGAAATGGTGTAAGTCAGAAGAATTATTTTCGATTTACAATTAAAATGGCTTCGCGTGCAAGGGGTTGATTCATTTATTGACTTTTGATACTCGGAAGTTTATGAAAACGTTTGGTGAACGCTGATTCGAAAGGCATTTATATCTTGATAATTAATAGTAAATTATTCGTTTTAGCGTTATTTTTAGATAAAGCAATCGTTACTTTGATCAAAAATCGACGTACACTGTTATTGTCATCTATCCTCAAATATTATTTTCTAACGCAGTATTCGGCGCATAGCTTTTCACTATGTGTGTACATTACTGCGGTATTTAGAATGACCGCAGTATTTGGCTCGCAGTAATAGGGACATAATCGCGGTAACATATGCGTTTCTTTACATTGCATTACGCTTTTTAATGAAATTCGTGCCCAATATTTTGAGAAAAGTAAATATGTTCGAGTTAAAGAATAACAAGCATATTTCGAGTTGTCAATTCATTGGCGTGAAACGTTTCATTTTCTCTGTCAAAGTTCGCCTTTTAAAGACGCAGCAATACCTACGCTTGCCCTAACCAATCTCGGTATATTTTTATGTCGGTCAGACCTCGGACGAGCCGCAATTTCCGGGGCCGGTGGGGACCCTCCTTGCCCCTCGCGCGAGATCCAGAATCAAAAACCGCTCGTTCCCGGTGGCTGTACGAAAGCAATAATACTGTCGTGGATCGTTGAGGGAGAACGCGATTCTTCCAGGAACATGACTCGTCCCTCCTTTACGCTTAGCCCGGCGGAGGCTTTCATCGAGAAGCGACGCAATACGACGCCGGCGGATCTATTTTTTCATATCACGGCGACGCGTCTCGATCACGGGGAAGCTCCGATCTTTCGATCGTTTCGCGTCCTTTTCTTCAACTTTTGCCGTAACATCGATCTTGTTTGTCCGTGTTTCGAAACCGACGTTTCCGCGGTTCCTACGTTATAATACGACCCAGGCCTGGGCAAACTCTGTTTGAAACGAAGACGAGAAGAACAACCGTTCGAAATCATTCGTTCCGAACCGTTGTCTCGAACGCTGTATCATCTCAAAGTAGAAACACCGTATCGATCCATTCGAGGCGACAGCAATTTCAAATAACGAATCGTGTATTTCGCTGAGTTTTCTTTCCTTTCTTTCTTCTTTCTTTTCTTTTATTTCGAATACGACGAACGCGAAGTGCATACATACGTAGTCCTCGCAATAACACGCAACAAGGAGATTCTATTTTAAGAAACTTTTACAACGATTTGCTTTTAAGCAAGCTATTTCTTCGAAAAAAAGTTCTTCCGCGAGAGATTCTTGTCCGGGTCCATCCTAATGTTGTTGTTCTTCAGAAAAAACCTTTCTCATTGTCGGGCGAATCATTTAACGTAGCTAGAGATCGGTACTTTTATATTGCAGAAACGTTAACCGAGAATGTCGGCGTAAACCAGGCCCCGAGCTGGCAATTATAGGTCATCACCGTGTAACACCCAACAATAATAATAATAATAATAATCGCAATTATCTCGAATAATTCTTACAAACGATCGTAAAATAGACTGACACGTTATTTGCAATGGTATATTACAAATAATGTTGTTTCAAACGTGCCCAGATCTGGTTCAAACCTCGTTTACTGTACATACCGTCGCTGTTCCCGATTCCGATTTCGTTCAGGCGCGGTCCCCGCACGCGGCGCGAAAATTACGTTCGACGATGATGCTGAGGACGCGCGAAACGGGGAGGAGAGGGCGGGGGAGAACGCGTGCACGCGCGAACAAAAGGGGCGCGCGCGACACTCCGAGAGAGAAAGAGATAGCACCGTCGCGAAATCGTGGCGGTCGTCGTCCCTAATCGTTAAGCACGGACAATACAGCTCGCGCACGGTGGACGTTTTTAATTGGAGACGAGCGGCCGCTCGACCGCCGCCGCATTGTCCGCCATTGTTACCCTATTATCGTTGTAACTAATCGATTACAAGGTTACCGTTCTAACGTACGTCGTAGGGCTCAGCGAGAATCACGAAGGAACACTCTCACAGGAACAGAACGAGAAAGTATCGATCTGTCGACGCGCAGCATCTGTAACATTTCTACAGGCTGTCCTAAAATTACGGTACTACCGGGAAATGGATTCCCGAGATCATTCGAAGCAACTTTTTCCTTTACGGAAATTCAATCCGCGGCTTCGTTTACGAGTTATTAACGAAAAATCCTGACCAATCGTAGAGCGAGGGCGTCCGGCGCTCTGACCCTGCGGCCAATACCGCGTCGCGCCGGTCGTCAGACGCAGCGGCGGTGGTCGCGCGAGCGGGGCGTCGGTCGTGCGCGGTTTGTCATTGGCCAGCGTTTTTCGTTAATAGCTCGTAAACGAAACGGCGGATTGCATTTTCGCCGAGGAAAAAGTTGCTTGAAATAACGTCGGGAATCCCTGATTTTCCGGAAGCACCATAATTTTGCGACACCCTGTACAGGAGACGGACAAGACCGGAAATTATGATTGGGCGACTGCCGAGCGCCGATAAACGATGGCGAGGTTCGAGTCCCGTTTTCCCCGACGTGTAGCCGCGCGATTATTCTCGTTCGTCGAGTCGACGAGCCGAGGACGGATCGCGAGACCCTCCGGCCCCTCGCCCCGTTCCGTTTTAGGCCGCGAGGTGCCCGCGAGGGTCTCGCCCTGCCGTCCCTCGGTTCGTTCTCCGTGCATGCACGCGCATCCCCGTTGGGTCGTCGACCGACTCCGTTCTCCGTAGGGCCGAGTGTCCGGCAAGCTCTTCAAGTCTCGTCGATAACGGTTCGTGGGGAACAGGATGCTCTCGGAGCCGCTTCGCTCCGCCCCGAATTCACAACCGGTTTACAACTACAACCCCCCTCTCGACTCTGCACTCCCCTGACTCGTCTCTTCTCGAGTCTCCATTTTCTTCCGAGCGAAGGCTCGGAGAGCGTGCGCGCTCTTCGCGGGCCCGGGAGCCGATCGGCCACGCCCGGTTGGCCACGCCCTAGAGGCCACGCCCCAACGTCGTCGTAGCGCCGACAGCGAGCCGTCTCCGAGAGCACGAGCGCCCCGAGTCAATAGGCAGAGGATCAGTACCGTGTCCTCGATCATTTCCGTACTCGAGTCCCCGTATCGGTTTCACAAAAGATCATGACTTGTTCTCGTCTCTTGCATCTGTGCATCGTCAGTCCTGTCCTTGCCATCGATATATTGTATCACACACGCACGCGTCTCTCTTCGAGCACCATTTTTCTCTCTGTTCTATATTTCTTAGTTTTTTTTCTTTCTCTCTATCTCTCTCTCTTTCTCTCTATCTATCTCTCTTTTTATACCCAGACTGTCTGTGTGTCATCGTATCATTCTAGTATCGCCCAACGAAACCAATCTCTCTCTCTCTCTCTCTCTCTCTCTCTCTTCTCTCTCTTTCTTTTCTTTCATTCTTTCTCTCCGCCATTGAATCCAACGACTCTTCACATCGGACGATTTTCTTTCCGCCGCTTTCAAACCCCCGTCGGCATCGCCATTGTCATTTTTCTACCCCCACTCCCCCTCTCGTTTGTCGAGGTATAATAACTTCGGACGTCGTCGAACGCGTGCGTGTCTGCGACTTAAACGTGCCCGCAGCCTCGAGAGATCGTCGCGCCGGATGTTCTCCGGCAGTTCATCGATCGCGCGCAATCTCGTCTCGGTCGCTGTTAATTAATCGGGGGACGCGGTGGGTGCTCCCGGCACTTTGGCTGCCACGGCTTAAAAGCTGCAGCAGTCGAGGTTATTTCCCGAGAACTTCC